GAATATTACTCTAACGGAGATTCTCATAAAAAAGTAAAAATAATAGTAAGACGAAAGCAAATGCAACAAATGACCTCTTCCCTAAAGATAGTGGAGCATAAAATATAACTATCTACCATCTTAGAAAGATAATGTTCCTTTTCACCTTAATAGTACAGTATGCGAGGATGAAAACAACTATTTATAACAAAAGAATGTTAATTTATTTTACAAAGATCATACGTTACTGTAGTAATTGCAAATATCTTTTTAACATTATAATTGAACGTTGAAAAACAAAATTTAATTAAGAAAATCGTACGTTAGATGTGTTATTTAACATAGTAAACAAAAAAAACTTATAAAGGAGTAAAAAACCATCGGTCCTAAACATTTTTGTAAAAAAAAGCAACTCAATTAAACTATGATGTGAAATCATTTTTAAAGCTAAACTCTTTAGAGATTATAATTTAAGAGTTGTAAATAGTGCACTGTACTAGCTAAAGTTACATTCTTAATAGTGAAGTGGATGATATTATAATTATTTATACATTGAAAAAGCAATAGCTGGTTTTGTTATATGAACAGAGGAATCCACAGGTTTCTAAAATGTAAAACCAAAGTTGGATTGTTATTAATTAAAATAGCTCAACTTGTCAACATCGACCAACCCATTTTTAACGCTTCCTTTACTTGTTTTTAACGTATAATTTATGCTTAATAAATAATTAATTACTACTTCTGCAACTGGTTAAATAACACCTTGGTTTGGTTTTATTTTATATCTAACGTAGTATTAATTTTCTTACAAAAAAACTTTTGGTTTGAATAAGTTCCATTCCGTTTTATTTTCTTTTAATTAATCACCTCTTAATTATACGTTATAGGTTATATAACCCCCATCATCAAATACTAGATTAGGCTTTTTCGATCACCTTTTTGCCATATTAGTGAAACGAGTTTAAACAATTTTTCATAAAATTCAACAAATATTTGAAGAAATAAACATAAATAAATAAAATTTTCCTAACACGTGAGAGTATCTCGTTGGTGTTTTGTCATTATCCTATTTAACCTGACACCAATTAATATGTTCTAATCTCAAAGTTATTTTTTCACGCAACATTATTATTCCAAATTTTTAATTTATTAGTGAAAAAACAAAAAGATAAAACTCAATAAAAAAGGTAACTAATTTTATTTTTTTTGGTAAGGTTTTTGCATTTGTTTATTATAAACACATTTTTATTTAATTTTATTTTCTTAGAAACAGAAACTCATGTTTTTTATTTTAAGGATATATGGATTTTGCAGAATTATATAATTTATGAAAAAATAATGTAAAAACAAAAATATCAGTAGTAGTTAGCCTTGGGCAAAATATTCGTTAGATTTGCTTCGCTTCGATATTCGTTTCGATTCGATTCGAAAAATTCAAATATCTATAAGATATTAAACCGAAGCAAATATGAAAATGTAGCATTCGTAAAAATCGAAGCAAATAACAAATATTGATTTTCTTAGTGCTGAATATCCGCTTCGTTTCGTATATTTATATATACATATGTATAAATATAAATAATTATATAATATATATAATATGTGTATTTATAGATTTGAGTATATATCTTATAGGCCTATTATTCAAATTATTATATTTTGGGCCGTTGGTTTTTTTTGCTAAATGTTGTTCTTAAACAAATAAAACTTTATTAGAAAAATTAATATTAAAAATAAAATGTGGGAATTCTATGCACGGTGGTTACATTTTCTTCTTATTTTGAAAATATGTCAAACAAAAACCTCCAATATCTCATATTTTGCACTTTATATTTATGTACTATATGTTTTTTAGTTTTAAAAAAAAATTAGATGGGTCGAAGCGAAGCGAAGCAAGTAACTCGCAAATATTATGAAAAATATTCGAGTATTCGGAACTCGAAAGTTCCGAATACTCGAAATTTTTCGAATCGAAGCAAATAGCAAAATCAACTATTCGGTCGAGGCGAAGCAAATCACAAATATCACAAATTTTCCGAATATTCGATTCGTGCCCAGGGCTAGTAGTAGTAGTAGGCTTGTTTCATAATAACAGAGGAGTCCCATCGTTCTCTATATAAACCATCCTCTCTCTCTCACTCACTCGCTCTCTCTTCATTTTTATATATTCTCTCCTCCCTTAACTCTTTATCAATTCTCCGCTTTGATCCAAAAAAACTCGATTCACAGATCTCTGAGATCTAATGGCATCCAACGGTGAGAAAGGACTGATCGTCAGCTTCGGCGAGATGCTAATCGATTTCGTCCCTACCGAATCAGGCGTCTCTCTCGCCGAAGCTCCTGGTTTCCTCAAAGCCCCCGGCGGTGCTCCCGCTAACGTCGCGATCGCCGTCTCTCGTCTCGGTGGACGATCCGCTTTCGTCGGCAAACTCGGTGACGACGAGTTCGGTCATATGCTCGCCGGGATTCTCAGGAAGAACGGTGTCGCTGATCAGGGGATCAACTTCGACACTGGAGCTAGAACTGCTCTCGCTTTCGTTACGTTACGTGCTGATGGAGATCGTGAGTTCATGTTTTACCGGAATCCTAGCGCCGATATGCTTCTCCGTCCTGATGAACTCAACCTCGACCTCATCAGATCCGTACGTTTCAATATCTCTCTGATTTTAATTGTTTTTGGGATTTGTTTAAAAAATCCAGATCTTAACGAGATCTAGTTTGAATTTTTTCTGGGGGAATGAAGTAACAAAGTTTGATTACGAGTGTTGATGAATCGTGTAGTTTTGGGAATCGTGATATTGAATTTAGTAGTAGAGACCGAAACGTAGAAGATGACTCTGATGATCTCATGAGGCGGTGACTTTTCTCTGCGATTTTTTATTTTTATTTTCGCGGGTCTTATTTTAGATCCACGTGATGCCACGTGATTTGCCAAAGCCTTCATTTTTACTAACCCCAAAGACAACTAAGAAATAAAAAAGCTACAAACCTTTTTGGCCGTGAATAAGCAAAGTTGTTAACAGTCGCCATCTTAAGCTCCAATTCTAGTGAAATGTTTCCTTGAACTAGCTTTGTAGTGTGGTAAGCTGATTCTGTGTTTTTTTTTAATATCTTGAGTAGTTTTTTGGTTGTATTGATGTGATTTCAAAGTTAAATGTGCACATATACGTGTAAAGTTGGCTTCTGTTTTTTTTATAGCAATGGTTTGAATTGTGTCAGATTGAGTATTTTTGTGTAAAAGTGTTATAGATTTTAACTTTACAGCTAATCTCAATGAGGAGGACATTTTGTTTTTCTTGAACAGTTTTGATAATGATTGACCCCTGAAAACATAAGGAATCTTAATGAGACTCGGTCCCTTGATAAATTATTCCTAATGATCCAAAGTTATGTTATTTTGCGAGTTTAGGGTGCTTGATTCTGTTAAGCTTGACTAGTGTTATTTTGTGACCAATGTGATGTGTTTTATTTATTTGCAGGCTAAAGTGTTTCACTATGGATCAATAAGTTTGATAGTTGAGCCATGTAGGTCTGCTCATTTGAAGGCCATGGAAGTGGCCAAAGAAGCAGGAGCTCTTCTTTCCTACGACCCAAACCTCAGGGAGCCTTTGTGGCCATCAAAGGAAGAAGCCAAGACACAGATCATGAGCATCTGGGACAAAGCTGAGATCATCAAGGTGAGTGATGTTGAACTTGAGTTTCTAACTGGAAGCAACAAGATCGATGATGAGACCGCAATGTCCTTGTGGCATCCTAACTTGAAACTCTTGCTTGTCACTCTCGGTGAAAAGGGATGTCGGTATTACACTAAGGTACCAACACACCGAAACTTATTTTATGTGCATTTACCATGCTCATCATCATTATTATCAGTATCATCAATATAGTTGTCTCTTGTGGTTATGCTTTGTGTGCTGTGTCCCTTAGCTGATACCAGAAGGCAATACTAGTCTGCTATATAATACAATATCAGGATCCCATGCTTTTGTGTTAATATCTTTTTTTAATAGGATTCGAGAACCTTATTAATTTTGTTAAATCAGAACACCTCTAGAGGAATCAATTCTGCTACTTGATTAATTATTAGTGGGTGTTTAGTAGGTTTGGTAGATCTCACCAACTGCTGCATTTAAAAAATTGAATTTTTTCGTGGACCCTCCAAAAGATTAATATTTACTTTAATCAATTGAGAGGGTCGCAAAAGTCGTGATCTCTAAGGTTCTTTGTTTTTGCTAACATGACAAAATGTTCTTGTCAAGAAAGGAAGTTACTTTTGCTTTTCTTAGTTGCCGAATCACATGAACATGGAAACGATTTGTTCTTGCTTATTTACGTCTATAACTTTGTGACCTTCACTAAAATGAGTTTCTCTTCTCATACACTTCCTGAACTGTGTAGAATTTCAAAGGATCCGTTGACCCTTTCCATGTGAATGCTGTGGATACAACCGGAGCTGGAGACTCCTTTGTCGGTGCTCTTCTAAACCAGATTGTCGATGATCAATCTGTTCTCGAGGTATAACATCTAGTTAATCATGTTCATCGATTGGATGAATCCTTCATTAGCTTCAAGATGATATATAGGTTTTAACTTCATTATCCAATGACTTCTCTTGTTAACTTACAGAACGAAGAGAGATTGAGAAAAGTGTTGAGATTCGCTAACGCTTGTGGAGCAATTACCACAACCAAGAAAGGAGCCATTCCAGCTCTTCCCTCAGATGCTGAAGTTAACAGCTTTCTCGAAGGGAAATAGAAGCAAAAGCAGCAACACAAGCTTTTATCAAGTAATCTGTTTCTCGTGCGGCTTTCTTCTCTTTTTGTATTCTGGTTTTCGGATGGTTGGAATTGAGGAGAGAAACAAATTGGGTAATCCGCTCAGTTTTTGTTCCTCTTCTTCGAATGTAATGATTTAAAAAGACTTGTTGCAATTGAAGGCATCACATGCTAATAAAATGATGTATTTTTCTCCCTGTGTTGAGCTTAAACACCTTGTTGCAAATACACTGGTACTCATACAAATACCTATAACTGGTTCGAACTAGATCATAGAGAAAGCAAAGCATAGACAATAGATGAGTGTGTAGTTACATATACAAATCAAGTTCTCTATATAAAGCTCAAGTTCTCTATATATAGCTTTACTAGTTTCATCCATAGTTTAGCCTAGGTCGGGGACAAGGAAGTGCTCTTCATCATCATCGTAACGGATCTCAAGCCTCGGCTTCTTATTTGAAACATTGGACTTCATGGATCTGTTGTAGGAATGAGCATGAGCCAAATGTGAAAACGAAAGCTCCGGAACTTCAGCTGCCGGTAGAGCCTCTTGATCAGGCTGGTCACCCAAGAAACCCATCTCTGCAAGCCAATCCAGCTCTCCGAGATCAAGCTGCTCTTTCTGCTAATTTACAACAAGTGAATTATATACATGTCAAAACAAGCTACAAACCAAGAACTAAGATCAAGATTTGATTAAAGAAATCTAGGCTATAGCATTCATCGATTTGGTTAACCACTTCTCACCTTGTTACTGCAGTCAAGATCATCAGAGTAGCGGAAGAATTCATCGCTAGCCCACAAAGGAGATGGAGCAGGGGATTGTGGAGGTTGCGGTTTAGAGAGAACCTGCTTTGCATTCTGCTGGTTAGCTGGGTCAAAGTGATTCTTCTCCACTTCTTGACTGCAACTAGTGGAACTCAGAGCAACTCGGATTCCAGTGGCTAAGAACCTCTGGTGATTAGCAGAGCGAGTATTTGGCGCATGGGTAGCCCCGTCGCAGTCTCTGCAGAGAAGAGCTCTATCCTCTACACAGAATATGAAAGCTGCCTTCTCCTGCAAGTCAAAAAAGATGAACACAAGAAAGAGATTCACAACATAAGTAACCTCGAGCAGGTGATTCTTGATATTCCAAATATTCAGCAAGATTGGATCTAAATACTAACAAAATTCCTGAGATCCCACCAAAAACCTTAGCTAGAGTTAATCTTTGTTGACGAATAGAGACACAAAACTAAGAAACTTATTCTCGATCATTACTCCTAAAGAATCTGCCAAGAACAGCTACATCACAACAGAGAAACACACAAAGATCTTCCTACAAGTAAACACAGAGACAGAAGAGGATGTATTCTTACAAGGCAGATGTCGCAAGGAGGGAATTTAGTTGAGAGAGAGTCAAGAAAAAGGCGTTGGTGTTTGCTAGCGAGCTTATTAGCAGCATGAACCTCAACGTCACAATTAGCGCACAGAGCAGCTTCATCGGCACAACATATAAGTGTCGCCGGAGCTTTCTCACACACATCACACTGTATCTTCATCTTTATCAAAAAAAAAAGCAGAATCTGAATATCAGAGGAAACTACAATAGAAGACAGATAAGAGTTTTCTTCCCTTGTTCAAGATCAAGACCTTCTTTGTAAGACAAATAAGAGTTTTGTGTTTGTGTTCGAAAAGTTTGAGAGAAGTGAGTGATTGGTGAAGAGAAGTAGATAAGGAGGTTTTATCAGATTTTAAGATGATTCTGCGTATCAAAAGGAACCACATCCTTGCTTCTTTTAACATCAATGTCTTTGTAGTTCGTAGAGCCCACTCTTCTTCTTCTTCTGCGGCTCTCGTTGTTTCTCTCCTTCTCTGTCTCTCTCACACTTGTATTTTCTGATATTATTTTCATTTCTTTTTCGGGATTAGTCTATTATTTTGTTATTATCGTTTATGTTTTTGGACCATTCGAAATTGTCCTAAGAAGAACGAAAAGACAATTTGTGTTTTTTTCTCTCTCTGTGTAAAGTGTTAGCCGTGAAATCTTGTGGACAGTAATGTTTCACAAGAAGTAGTAGTCGGCTGATATGTTTTTTGCGGTCTGTATTGCATATTGGAGAAGACATTAAATGTCATTACAAGTTTTGTTGGAATTAGTGTTTGTTGACTAATCTTGTGGCTTTCATTGTTTCTCTTTTAGCAGATACACACAAAACTTTAACTGTATGTGATAATGATTTGGATTTATACTAAAAACAATGGTGAACAAATATCATTAACATAAGTAGATTTTTGTTGTATCTTAAACACAATTGTTATACATTATAACAAATTAACAATTTTTGAATGTGATTAAATGTTTTTTACATGCTATGATTTCGAGATACAGTCTCTATACCAAATAACCAAATCCAAACAGCTAATAATTGCAGTGCATTGCAAGGAACTCTGTTTCTTTGGGCTATCCAAATGTTTTCTCAATGATCTTTACTTACCAAAAGGCTTCTCCCTTTAGCACCCGAACGCCAATACCCTGTAGCCAAGGCACCCGTTAAGCTGTGTTAGGGCTAAGCCCTAAAATCCTAGAGACTGCAAAATGGATGAGAAAGGAATTGTCAGGAGTACCTCTCACTTAAGTGGACATTTTCATACTCCTCAGCTCTCTTTCTGGGATTGAGAAGGCTTGAGTCTTACTCCATTTTGTTGTTCCTGCTGTTGAATCCGCTGCTGCATAAGCTGTTGCATCTGTTGCTGTTGAAACTGATACTGCTGCTGCTGCTGTTGTTGTTGTTGTTGTTGTTGCTGCTGCTGTTGTTGTTGTTGTTGCTGCTGCTGCTGCTTCTGTGAATGAATCTGAAGTTGCTGGAACTGTTGTGCGGCTAAGATTGTTTGCATTGACTGATTGTTGGAATAGAATTGTTGTTGGTTTGATCCAAACGACCCATAGTTCAACGCTGATGGAGCAACTTGGCCAGTCAACACCTTCAGATGCTGGATTTCCTCCTTAAGTGCTTCGTTTAGTTCTGTTAATAGAGAAGATTCAGATGGATCATATGAACCAAATAGCATATTTCACACTAAAGGCAAATGTTCGTGATAACGCACCATCCTGCAAGTGAACCTGCTGCTCCATTGTTTGTAACCGCAGCTTCAGCTCATTGTTTTCTACAGTCAAGCCATTTGTGTCTCTCTGAACAAACAGGAATAAAATAGCACAAGTTTCAAAAACCATATAGAAACCCCAATACACGAACGAACATTGCAATACAAGACTTAGTTTCATTTAGCATGTAGAAAGAGCAACCAAAAAATGACTCAAAACCGACCTGTAAGAGAGTCAACTGGGCTGAGAGAGTTGTGGCCTCTGTTTGCAAAGTCTGTACTTTTCTCTCCAGCTCAAATATGTATCTAGTCTTCCTTTCTTTTGATCTTGCCGCAGACTGCCTGTTTGCCCATATCCTATAGTATGACACACAAAAAAAAATCACACACTTGCTCCACATGTTTGAATTTGTACACATACAAACGCTTAGGTTTTAAAAGTTAACTCAAAAGCATGGAAAAGAGAGAATCAAGAAGCCATTTCATGAGGTTAGGCCATTCCCAAAGTTATGTGAAAACAGTCGAAGCAACTACATGATTCAAACCAAAAGCACAAAATATTCATTATGTCCATCCAAAATTTAAAACAGGATATAAAAACCAGAGAAGCACGAAAGAAAAGGACTAATAACCTCTTAGCACGTTTTGGATCGATGAGAGCAAGCTCAGCAAGCTTAGTAGCAGACATGGACTTCTTAGTATCAATGGCAGAATCATCTTCATTCCCCGACATTAGCATCTCATTAATATTCATTGAACCATCCATAGACTGACTGTGTTGGTGCCTGATTCTTGGTCTTTCGGCAAAACTATTGATTGTAATATGAGGAATCGAAGTTGAGCCAGTTTGCATCATCGACTCATTTTTCCAAGCAGTTCCAGATGGCTCACCCACTTGAGCCGAAGACGAGGCAGAAGAATTGAACTTATCCATATCAAGATACATAGAGAGTAAGTCTTCCTCAGTCTCATCAGAGAAAGAAGCTCCATCAACAGCATTACCAACAACACCAAGATCACTATCAAAGCTCAAATCATCAGGGAGAGTAAGGATTTCCGAATGAGATCGACGGTGTCCAATCTTCTTGGGTGGTTTATCAAGCATACGGCTAATATCATGGCTCATTCGGTTAGCATCTGATCCATGACCACTGGGACCAGAATCAGAGAATGCAGAGCACCGACCTGATGGAGATGGAGGAGGAAGACCTCCACAAGGTGCCGGAGACTTCTCCTTATCCATTTCTAATGACTATCCACACCAAATCAACAGTCTTGAAAATAAGACTAGTAAGCTCAATCAAACTCAAACTAGCAAATTTATCAAATGAAAGTGAAACTGAGAAGCAACCCTATGAATACGAAAGCTCACGTTTTTATCCTTAACCCTGAATCAAAATGGAAAAAAGAGGAAAGACCCTAATGAAAGCAGATCAAAGGAGACGACTTTGCAAGACCCACTTACAAAATTAGATCTAGTCAGCTGTAGTGTGACCCTGCAAACAGAGAGAGAGTGAGATCCACGAGTAAAATTGTAAGCTTTATCCTGGAAAAGTTTTGGGTTTTTGCTGAAGTAAAGAATTGAGTTGAGGGAGAAGAAAATGAGAGGAAGAGAAGAGAGAGAAAATGAGAGAGATCTATACGAGATGATGATGAGGGAAGGCGAATGAATTCGATTCTCTTACAAACAGATCATCATCATGAGTAGGCAATATGCTCTCAAAACGCGTCGTTTAGCGTGTTCCGCCATTTCCGTTAAGTGTGACGATGAGAGATGCAGAAGATAACTTACCAAAATAACCAAGAAAAATTTAATAAAACATATATTGTCACCACCACTAGGCCTAGGCCTTCTTCTTTAAATCTTGTATGGGCCTCCAAAAGCCCATTAATGATAAGCCTTAGGAACTACTACAATCTTCTTCTTCTTCTTCTTTTTTGTTATCGGTGTCTCTCACTCAACTTGTCACGAAGATTGTATGAACCTTATAAATTGGATACGCTATTTTATTTGATTATATATATAAGATAACAAGAATTGTGATTTGATATAATCAAAAATTACGGAAAAGCAAGATAAATATGATTTAGATAATTTTAAAAAAAAAATCGGATTTTTAGTTAATATGTATAAAAAGATATTTATATGAAAATAGGGGATATATCATATATGTATGTATATTTTAAAAAACTTATATGAAGGCATTATCTCCAAGACTCCCATCTATAAGAAAATGCCACAATGGGGTTGATGATAGATAGTGTGGAGGTGGTACCACATCTCTCTCCCTCTATATCTGTGAAGCATTGTCCTTTTCCTAATTGGAAAGGAATGTTACAGTGGTCGATTTCACATTTCACCATTTTTTAAAAAAATTATCTGAAAAACGTTTTCATATGCTTCACACTACTTAATTATAAATGTACCTACAAACAAAAAGAAAATTCGATATTATTGGTCATTTTACTTACAAATCTCATGTAATAATAGTATATAATATGCTCTATCACGTCGTTCAAGATGCTTTCACACATTTCCTCGTACCTTTGGTATTACTGGTCTTCAATGGAGGTGGTTCTTTGTATTCTCATGTTGTTGGGATATGGTTTTGATTGAGAGTCCTGTCAAGTTGCCTTTTGCAAGCTACCAAAAGCTAATTTATGTATTCGTTTAAGCTCACAAATCCTAAAATTGTTTCTTAAGTAGAAGTTGTAAAGAGGATGTAACCAAACCACCTAGGTAGGTGTAAGTAATTAGCATACTATTTTTGTAATTGGGGGGTGTGTGTGAAAAGTTTTGAAAGTGAGGGGAGGAAGAGGAACATGTTAAATCGAGAAAGTATAGTGGTCAGTGACTTCTGACGAGCTACTACTACACAAATGGTGTGATCCAGGGACCATTAGCATCATTTTACTATTTTTCTATCCCTTCACACATGTTACTATCATATTTTTCTCTCTTTTTTTATATATAATATGTGTTATAATATTAGTAGAAGTTCTAGATGTACTATCTCCTTAAATCTATAAAACACGATTTAGTTGTTTTTAGAATACTAATAACTCGAAACTGTGTACTTAGTCCGTTTTCAGAAAAAGAATACTACGTGACAACATTATGATTTATTTCCAATTTTGGTTCGACTCATCTCAAAAGACCAAACACAAAACTTGTTTGATCTCATTGAAACAACAGAACCAAGTCGGATTTGTAGTTTTTTTCTTCTTTAGAAATGTAGCAATATAGTTATTCTGTTTAAATGTTAACATGTTCAATAGTTGTATAATGTATAACCATCATTAATTTATTTATTGCATTACGATTTACGAACTAATCGGTCATTGGTTTTAAATGTTTAATTTGTGTTTGTTAATCGTTGTTATTAAGTAAGTAAAGTATACGAAAGCGCAACCACCTTTCTGATCACTTACCCTTTCTTTACTTTACGCTTTCTCACTTACCCACAAACCTACTAATCAACTTTGCTGCTATAATTTCAATCTTGATGTAGAAACTACTAAGGTAGGTACGTTACAGTTTCGGAATTTTTTCTATAAAAAAAAAATATAATTCAACGATACATGTAGATGCTATGATGACAGTAACCTCACTCTTATCTACTTTTTTTTTAATTTTTCTTGTAGGACACTATATTCTTGTACGCATTTGTATTATAAACTCTATTTATATAAATTTGTCGTCATACGTTTTCCGGAGTTAGCGAGGCTCTCTCGTCTCCACTACCACTACACTGTTTTGATTCATTAAAGTTTTGTTTTCCTTTTCAAGATCTAGAACCGAGGATTTAGGAATTTCTAGGACGACATTTTCAAACGTGACGATTTTAAAGATCGATTTGTTTTTTAAGTTGTTGTTTATATACAACAGTATATTGTTGTGGTAATACTTAAGTACAGTACTAGTATAGCTAGCAACAAAACAGTTTGAATTATTTTACACGAGCTTACAAGTTCGAGCACATGGTTATGTCTACATAACAGATCTTAAACATGTGTAAGTTTACGATCTTGTATCTGTCTTGTGATTCAACATATACGTATACTGTATATCACTTGAGAGTCTTGACTCTTGAGGTATGGTTTCAGTTTTAGACCTAGTAAAAGGTGTGGGCAATATGGCATACGGCCCCAAGTTTGATACAAAAATATCTCTTTTTTTATCATCACAATTCTTTTAAAAATAAAAGAAACTTGCAAGTAGTGTGCTGTGCGATATTGAGATTTATATCATTACAGGGGTACAAAAGAAGATATCATCATAACATACACTAAACAAATTTAATAAATATTATTTCATTTAGTCAGATATTAAATTCAGTAATGTACTTTTATGTATGAAGACGTGTATAATGAATCTTGCAACCTTAATATTTATTAGTTTAAGAGGAAGAGAAAAATAAAAATAAAAAACTTAGACATGAACTCAACCACTTTAATCTAAACAAAAAAACTAAACTACTTTAATCTAAACAAAAACTCAACTACTTGTTATCTAATCAAAAACGAATTAATAAATAAAATACGACTTTGATATTTCTTTCCACTTAAAACACACACAATTTTGACAATCCGTACTCCACCGGAAAGGAATCGATCACGAAGATCAAAATAAATTAATTTTGATATTTTAAATTTATTTATTTTGGTCAAACGCTTTAAAATTTTTCCCTAAGAAAAAACAAATACATGCTTGTTTAAGAGATCGTGTTTTTATTTTTCCCATATACACTTTATTTATAAATGATTTTGTGATTCAAATGGTACAAATATTATGTACTTAACATTTCTCTTTTTCTTGGTCAAAACGTTTTGAAAAATAAAATAAGAATTAAAAGATACATGCTTTTCAGAGAGATCTGTGAATTACATGTAAATGTGTTAAATTAGTGTATATAAAACATATTATTTATTTAACTTTTCTTTCTTTTTGGGTCAAAGTTGATGTACCACTCCCTATTTTCACTATTTTAGTCAAAAAACAATTATACTATTTGATTTAGTTGTATATATATTGGAAAAAATAACTATTAGATATAGTTTCCTGTACAATAACTGTAAAAGAAAATAAATGTTAAGTATTAATAGATTTAGAGTTGACACTTGGGAACCTTATCTATGTGTATTTTGATTTCCCATAGATTATGAAGATTATTTTCTATAAACTAATTAAAAAAAAAGAAGACCAAAAACAGGATATTCTCAGTACAGCCAGTGAGTTATTCCAATTTTTTTTAAAATTTTAAAATAACAAAAACAATAAGAAAATTGAAAAAAAAAAAAAAAAAAAAACTGTGGAATTAAAATGATAACAGTCTGCAGCAACCGAACGTGATTTTTGCCTGTAATCACGTACATCCATAAAGCAATGTATATCTTTCTATCAACAGTGGAATAAGTCAAAATTTCATAATATTGAGCCCTGTGTCACCCCTTAAAAACACCCTTTTGTTTTTGGCATCTCTTAAACTTTATATTATATCTTTTACTTACTGTTACTGGTTTGGTTATACCATAAAGAAAACTTTATATTTACAATTTTAGATCACTATTGCATGTAAACTATACAGCTCAACCCCCTTACGTGCCAAATGTTGCAACAAATATCATGATATTTATTACTTACCCGATCCTATGATTTTTTATTTTTATTTGGTTTGCAGTGAATATTTTTTTTTTCTTCTTAATACTATAAATTAGAAGAGAGGCATCACTTTATTATTTATTCTCGTCCTCTCCTCCTCCATTATAACTTTTTTCAGAGAACCTAGAAAAGAAGAGAAGAAGAGATCCGAGATGTCGGTAACGTCGACGGTGGAGGAGAACCACCGGAAGAATCCATCTTCTTCGCCGGTGGAGGAGAAGAAGAAGAGGAGATGGGTGTTTTGGGATAGAAGGTGGAGGAGATTGGACTATGTGAAATTCTCAGCATCTTTCATTGTCCATTCTCTAGCTCTCTTGGCTCCCTTTTATTTCACATGGTCGGCTCTTTGGGTTACGTTCTTGTTTTACACCATCGGTGGTCTTGGTATCACCGTCTCCTATCACCGGAACTTGGCTCACCGGAGTTTCAAAGTCCCTAAATGGCTCGAGTATCTCTTAGCCTATTGTGCCCTTCTCGCTATTCAGGTTCTCCATAAACCTAATATTTTTGTTGTTTTCTAGTAACCTATATTATAGATCTTGAGATCTTAACTACTAGTTTTTTTTTTTTTTTTTTATAGATCTAAAAAAAAACTTTTTTGTTTTGTTTTAATAGGGAGATCCGATAGATTGGGTGAGTACTCATCGGTACCATCACCAGTTTACGGATTCAGAACGTGATCCTCATAGTCCCAAGGAAGGTTTTTGGTTTAGTCATCTTCTATGGATCTATGACTCTGCCTACCTTGTTTCTAAGGTTGATTTTTTTTTCTATCTTTTTTATATTTCTGTTTCTTTGGTTTTTGGAACCAAAATCTAAATCTCGATGAATATAAAAACGACAGTGTGGAAAAAGAGCGAATGTGGAGGATTTGAAGAGGCAGTGGTTTTATAGGTTTCTTCAGAAGACAGTGATGTTTCACATATTAGGATTGGGTCTGATTCTCTTCTATCTCGGTGGCATGTCCTTCGTCACTTGGGGAATGGTAATATTAATTGAAGAATCTCTTTTAATACTCCAAAAACGTATATATATATATTGGGTTATAAATTTTTGTATAGAATCAAAAATCTCTTTGTAATTAATATAAAAGATTGTGGTAGGTGTGATTCTCTCGTATTCATGTATCAGGGTGTTGGAGCAGCATTGGAAGTGCACGTGACTTGCCTCATTAATTCACTCTGCCATATTTGGGGCAGTCGAACTTGGAAGACCAATGACACTTCTCGCAATGTTTGGTATGTGTTTTCATATCAAAAAAAATATTGAAATCCCTATAATCATTTTTTTTTTTTTGGTGGAGTGTACAGTACTTTGAGATAGTAGAATATCTTGTATGACACTTACCCAAAATACAAAAGTAGACATGAACCGGAGACAGCTCATGTTTTCCAAAAAGACACCTAATAATGTATTTGTGTATTTTTGTTCATATGGGGAAGGTGGCTATCGGTGTTTTCATTTGGAGAGAGCTGGCATAACAACCATCATGCATTCGAGTCGTCGGCTAGACAAGGACTTGAGTGGTGGCAGATAGACATTTCTTGGTACATTGTTCGGTTTCTTGAGATTATCGGTTTAGCCACCGATGTGAAAGTGCCAACTGAGGCTCAACGTCGTCGTATGGCTATTGTTCGTTGATGATGACCACCATTGCGGGAGCACAAAAACAAAAACAAAACAAAGAAAAAAAGAAAGAGAGATCTATTTCTATGTAACTAGAATCATTTCTAATCCTAAAAAAAGAGTTATTGTTTTTTTTTTTTTAATTATAAAAGTTTTGGGTTAAAGCAAAGGACGTTTCCGATGTGTTTGTTGGAACAAGTTGATTAAGATATATTTTGTCGTAATTGGTGGGTATTTATATAAAATCTTTAGTGATGGTTTTGAAGGGAGATTAATACGTTAATTACGGTATCTTCTTTATTAGTATTACCTATGTGAGACTCTTCTATATTAAGACTATTTCTCAATACCGGAAAATATCTAAATCGTCGTTTACGAAAAGGAGAAGAAAAGAAAGCAAAAAGACACAAGACTTGTTCAAAAAGTGACATGTATTGGTTGTTGAAGTTTATAGCCATATAAATTGTTTCTTTCTTTTAAAAAAAAATAAATAATCCATGTGACTAGTATTGAAAAGAATTACAAAAAGCAAAATACGAAAAGAGGCTTTTTACAATAAGGGGAATATATTGGTTAATGGGGAGTTCATTGGCTTTTTGTTAATATAGAATCCAAAGTTTGATGTAAAAAGTGGGTACGTACCCATTATTATTATCTCACCATTTTGTTTATTTTACATTGAAGGAGTCGGCACTGTTTTATCTTTTTCTTGGATTGAAGTCGGTACTCTTTCTTCACTGTTGGGTTTTCATTATTGAAATATATATGGCTTTTCTTGAAATTGGGTAAAATGTTATTTAACCTTTGGATTTTATTCTTTGCGAATCATATATATTTAGATATTTTTTTTTGTGAAATGTGTGGTGGTCCTATGACTACAGAATAATGTTATTCTATCTACTTTTATTGAATCGAAAATTCGAATTCGAAAAGTATGTTAGGTTAACTTTTATTTTTATATAAGCTTATATTGTGTGTAGTTATTTAAGTAGTGTGACAATGACTAACATTGATGCTCTCCTCAACGATCAAATCCTACGTACGTACCTACCTAATCAAATCATCAAACGTCGTCAACTCTATCAACCAGGTGAGAAAAGTGTGACCTCTTGTTTTGGCTAACGCCAAATATAAGTCTTTACTGTTACGATTACATATGTGGTGGTATCATCAGAAACAAAAAATATTTGAATAAGATAAGTAGTACAAGTATTAATTATATCAACTCAAACTGTTAAACAAAAAAAAAAAAACTCTCTTTTCTTCTTTTGTTTTTGTTTTTGTTTCTGTTTTTATAAAGTACAGGTCAAAGGGTGCACACATCTTGTTTGGTGGACTAGAGAAGCAAACCAAAGGTTTTACCTCAAGAGAAATCTTATCTTTAGAAATCATCCTTTGCTTGTCGGATGATCCCTAAAGCTTCTGCTTCATTTGCCGTCTCTGGAATACGTAAAGCCCGTCGAATATCTGCATTCGAGCTGCGGAGGAACGGGTTACATGCTTTCTCCATCTTCAGTGTTGTTGGAATCTGAGGTTTTTGTGAAAACAAGAATCAAACACTAGTAAGTTAACCAATAAAACTGAGATATTTCATAAGCATCAATTGGAGATGGATCTTTTTTCTTTTACTACCGTAGGTAATTTCTTGCTACGGAGATCTGCAACATGAGCTGCATAAGACTGGAGTACTTCATTGTTTGGCTCAAGAGACAATGCAAACTTGGAATTACTCTGCACCCCAACCAAATTCAAAAATCATTTTCGAGGCAACCTCGTTTAGTAAAAGCTTTGTCAATTAACACTAGAAAACTAAAATATAACGGACCAGCGTATATTCGTGACCACAGTATATGCTTGTGTCATCTGGTAAAGATATGATCTTTTGGAGAGAAGCAAGCATCTGCAGAGCAAGTACAGAGGATAGAAGAAGAAAAAAAAGATCATTAACTGATTCCAAGAGATTCGTTCCAAAAGAAATGCAATTAAGCAGGACGATAGAAATAGATATGTAGTGTTTACCTGCTTAGGAGTACCTTCAAAGAGTTTACCACATGATAAGCTAAACAAGGTGTCCCCAGTAAAGATAGCTCGTGATCCTGGAAAGTATAAGCTAATATGGCCTGCAAGTATAATTCAGATAATTAGACACAGAGAATAAAACGCGGGACAACAAGGCTTACGAGGCATATATCATCTATAGTTTTCCATTTACACAACAGAAACCATCAAAACCTCGACTCTTGTTGGCTATATGCATATCTAATTTGAAGAAGATAAGAAACAAGACAGTTCCGGTTACAAACTTTATGATAGAACCCTCATGTATCCTTAATACAGTCAAGGTACAAACTTGAATCCCCAACTTTTTTAGACCCCTTAAACTCAACAAATTTCCCACTAACCCACATATCTGTTGAAAAAGAATTAGAACTCCAGTACTTTTAGATATCTAAGTAACTTCTTTGAACAAGAGAGACAACTCTATCATCTGTCCCGAGTTAAGACCACATAAGGAGAACATAGTATCTGTAAGGAAATCTAACAATCCTAAACCAAACCTCCAGTCTCAGCTAAATTACGCACATTATTTACATATGATAAAGACATTGAACACAGACTGAAATAATCAAATCATGAACTACTTTAAAGTGGGAATAATAGAGTAAAGTAAAGGCTTATTGGAATGCAAGAACATGCAGCTGATAACATTCAACGCTTCCAAAGTGAATATGAGAATTCTAAACAACCTTTTGTGTGGCCGGGAGTATCCATAACATGGACTTCATGGCCAGCGAACATCCATTTGTCACCATCCTTCAAGGCTATATCAATTCCAGGAATCCGGTCTCTATCCAGAGCTGAGCCAATCACCTGCATTCAAAAGATGTAACATTTGACTAACCCAACAAAATTTTGACAGATGTTATCATTGTACAAAGGAGTACAGAAAAAGAAGTTAGATCTTCCTACCTTTGCACCGTACCTTTCTTTTAATTCCAAATTACCACCAGTGTGATCATAATGATGATGTGTATTTAATATGTATGTTAGGTTTCGACCACTCCTCTTCAACGAATCGATAACAGGTTCAGCTTCAGAAGGGTCAACTACCCCAACTGTACCCGTATCCTCATCATGCAAAATATAAGCATAGTTGTCCTTAAGACAAGGCACCTGGAAGAAAAACCACTTAAGAATCATGCTCATTACATGATGACCTACTAAAGATGGCATGAAGATTCAACAAACAAGCAAAAACATGGTCCAACTAATGGTTAAGGAGAGAGTCCAAACAGAGCACACACCAGTTCAATTTGCAATGAGGAGAGGTTAGAGACGCTGCAGAACTTTGAGACTCGGATAGATTTACCCGCACCACGCAAAGTCCTAAGAGGTGCAGAGACCAGCTTCATGACTCTGCACACAAGACCCTTTCTGAGGTTAAGCTGTCTCACACATGGCTGGCTTGAAAGCTTCTGAAAGCAATAAAATAAACAGAAAAATGTTACATTCTGCTTTAAACAAGAGGCAACAACACGCTCATGTGCGTACCATAAAAGAATAGAACTTGTCTACACAGCTTTACACGCAACCTAGATAAGCTTTCTCAATACCTACAAGTTCAAGGTTCAAAACCAAAATCCTCTATAAATATGTTGGAGAACAAACCCAAAGCACGAAAATGAAAATTCTCAAAACGATCAAAAAGAATTAAGCATATAATAGATCATAAGATGTTCCCTTCTCATGAATCAAATTCAAAAATTTCAGAAAAAAAAAGGAATCGAGAAATGAAGAAAAACAAACCCTAGAACAGCGAAAGAAGGAGATAGCAGAAGAAGCTTTCGAGACGGCTTGCATCTCTCTATCACGATCGATCGATAGATCTTCAAAGAGAACTATCTCTTTTGGAAGAAAGAGTAACTCTTTCGACTCAATCTCTCAGAAAAATTCTCTCTTTAGGTCAAAAAAAGATCTTCTAAAGAGAATTTGACGGAGAAAGAGCGTCAGAGGGAAGAAGGAAGCCGTACAGAGACTCGTCTGAAGACAATTGTGTCAAGCCTCATCACACAATTTTGTCATAACAAAACCAAACCGGACCGGAACGAACCGTACCGAATGCTATACCATAACTTTAAACAGCGATGCATAATACTCTGGAATCTGGATTTTTTAGTAAGTCGTGTCTTCACGACTCTAATACAAATGGATACAAATGTGAAATAAATCTATAAATTATTTGTGGGTTTGTTTCGATTTTTTTCATAATAATCTAATTGATTTGAAGATTGATGTTTCACATTTTACCAGATGATCTTTTACTAAAGATTAAGCATTGTCGGGGGTAAAAAAAAACATGTATTTCTTAAACCTTAAGATAAAAAATATTTTATAATCAAGCTTTTGAAGTAAATGACAACATGAATCATGCTTATAAGATAAGAAACAAACAAAAAAAGAATGGAATAATAGATGACAAGACAAGAGTATATATGTATTTAAACTGGTTTTTCTTAATTGTTTTCTTTAAACGTGATTCGGTTGGGGGACATATACTTAATAATATACACGCATGCAATTATGCAACAATTAAAAAATCTTACTCCATCTGATTTATATGTTTTAAACTATTGGGAAGGATTAGTAGGGGTAAACACAAACGCGTATGAATCTATACTAACTTAGCTTTTGTCGGTGTCTGAACTGAACACTTCAATTTTTTGTGTCTGGTTCAAACGGCAATCGAGTTATAAATGGCTTTGTTCTATAAGTCGATGATGCAAGTTTTCTATTGTTGTTGTGGATCGATGATACTCATACTTCAGATTCACAGGTACTTACTGTGCTATCTCGCAACTAGCCACGTAGCATACATATTGATTAGTACTTTGTTTGTGTGCGTATATATGTGTAGGTGAAGAGATTAAAAAAAAAGAAATAGAAATCATCATTGCTCTACAAAACTGTTTTTTGTGTGTGTGGATTGGGCATATAGATAGGCTGAATAATGATTCACGGATTAAATAGAGAAAACTGGAGATTGCAAACAGACCTGATAAAGATTCTATATTTCATGTTTTGTTGCAACAATTGGGTTATTTTTCTAATGTTAAGCGATTCAAACCATGTAACTCCTCTCCTAATAGTAAAGTTGCTCATATTATGCATGACGTAAATAACAATGATCAAATCAAGAGATGTGTTAAGTCAATATAATTTGAAATACACTTTTGAGCAAGAAACAAAGAAACACCATGATTATAAATTTTAAGATAATCGTATATATGACAACAATATTCGATCGATACCTCTTCTTCCATTATTCCAGCCCCAAAAGCTGAGCCGCATCAAGTTTCATGCTCTTGCTCTCTGCAAATTTTTTGAGTTACTTTGGAAAGATGTGCAAAGTGCCCTCCTCCTATGGTGAAAGCTAACGTTATACTAAACTAAGTTCATAGTTTGACAAAATATATGCTCACTTGTTTTTGTTTATTAATTTGTTGTAGATTTTGGAGGCGAGGCCAGCATTTAGGTGAAATTATACTAGCCAAATTCGTTAGGCATTAAATATGGCTTTGTTTTCATTTTAAAGAATATATGAGTTCAATTATGTTATAGATTTAAGATTTCAGTGCTGTGTGTCAAAGTACAAACTTATTTTTTATAATATAAATAACCTTTAACTGCATTTGCTCTCCAAAGCATCTTTGCGTTTCGCCGACAAAAAACACTTTTCATGCAAGTTCAAATTCTAAATTGACTTTGCCTCCAATTTGGTGACCACTTTTTAGGAATAGAATGGAGAGCAATGTGGTGTTCCTCATTATTTCTCAAATTTTGCTATCATTTACCCATAATGTTTTTTCAATTTTCAGATATGTGGGATCTATATTATTCCTATTCATTCCTCAAATAAAAAGGAACAACAGTTCAAAAATGTTCCTACTCAAAATTGTAGAGGAACAATGAGGAACAAATATTATTTTCGTTTTTTTATAATTCAATATTTTAAAAATATTTATATTGATAATTTTGACATTTCTATATATAAATACTTTAAAAAATTATTATATATTTTAAATAAAATATTATTTCATCATAATTTTCACTTTCTATTAATGTTTTGAATTTATATATTATATTAGAAAAATATTTAAAGAAATTTAAAATAGGTTTTAACTTAAAACATTTATTAATGTTTTAAAATATAAAAAAATTAAATTAAATTTAATATATTAAGTATTATAATTTAAATGAAAGTTCTAAACTAAATTTCTTTTTAAACTTAAATTTATTAAATAATTTTTTGTATAAATTATTTATATTATTTAAGTTTACTTGTTCAGTTTTTTGGTTACCATTTACCGGAACATTTGTTCTATTTTTCCTCAGCATTTATTCCTATTTTTTATTAGAATTCTTTTCCTGTTTGTTCTTTTTTATTTTTGTTCCTTTTCCTTCTTTTTATTCCTAAATGGGTTACCAATCGGAGCCTTTATGATTTACGTTCACTTTATCATATTGAGTTTTCTACTATATTCAGGCATTGTCGGGATGTTACAAGAAAAAAAGCTTAAAAGTTGTAAACTTTATATTAAGTATTAACACTCTTGATTAAAACTGAAATTCTCATTAAAGTGACTAAGTGTGATTACAACTGTATTTATATGTACATGTACATAAGAGAGGAATAAGCTAAAGGAGACTTATTTCCTGATCCTATTATACAACTATAATCACTATACATATATGTTAATATACCCCCCTCAAACCGAATGAGCTGTTGAAGAGAAGAGGTTTGAAATGGACATTCGACCAAGAATATGATGAAAAGGACCCGGCTGCAGGGGCTTGGTCAGAATGTCTGCAATCTGATTCCCAGAAGAAACATGAAATAGCTTGAGAAAACCATTCTTAATCTGGTCTCTCGTTGTATGGCAATCTATCTCCACATGCTTTGTTCTCTCATGGAAAACAGGGTTAGTAGCAATGTATATTGCTGACTTACTGTCACAGAAAAGCTTCACCTGTGAATCCAAACTAATATGAAGATCCTTCAGAAGTTGGTTGAACCAAAGAAGTTCTTTAGTTGTTTGTGCCATGCTCCTATATTCTGCTTCAGTGGAGCTTGAACTCACTACATCCTGTTTCTTTGATTTCCACGTGATCAGAGAAGAACCTAGGAATATTGCCATACCAGAAACTGATCTTCTGGAATCTTTACAAGTTCCCCAATCCGCATCTGCAAAACCATTCAAGCAAATATCTGAAGATGCAGAGAAGAACAATCCTTGGCCTGGGCTGTTCTTCAAGTATTTGAGGATATGATGAGCTGCTTGCATATGTACATCCGTGGGACATGACAAGAACTGGATGAGCCGATTCACTGCAAAAGTTATATCCGGCCTAGTGATGCACAAATACAGCAAACGTCCAATTAACTCCCTGTAAGGTGTAAAGTCAGGAAGTAAAGTGCCTGTTTCTTTTGTCAGTGAAACAGTGGGATCCATTGGTACTGTCTTAGGCTTGCATCCCAACAATCATGTATCAGTCAACAAATCCAAGCAGTATTTCCTCTGGCTAACTGATATACCTTCTTTATTTCTTGCAATCTCAAGTCCTAAGAAGTATTTCGCAGGACCTAGATCTTTTGTTTTAAATTTCCTAGCCAAAGTAGCTTTAACAGAAGCCACTGCTTGGTCATCATTACTGGCAATTAAGATATCATCAACATAGACCAATAAGGTAATGTAGGATGTACCTTGAACCTTGACAAACAAAGTGTTGTCAGCATAGGATTGACTGAATCCATCATCCAATAAGGCAGTAGAGAGACACTTGTACCATTGTCTGGAGGCTTGTTTAAGGCCATAAATTGACTTGTGAAGTCTGCAAACCGGATTAGGAGGAAGAGAACCAGAAGCTGGTGTATATCCTTGTGGTAAACTCATGTAGATCTCTTCTTCCAAATCACTGTGAAGGAATGCACTTGTAATATCCATCTGAGTCAAGCTCCAGTTCTTCTTAGCTGCCAAATCCAAGATAAGTTTCACACTAGCAAGTTTAGCAACAGGTGAGAATGTTTCAAAATAGTCTACTCCTTCCTGTTGTGTAAAACCCTTGGCAACTAATCTCGCTTTATATCTCTCTATAGTACCATCTGCATGATACTTTATTGTATACACCCATTTACATCCTACCACATTCTTATCTGGTGGTAGTGGAACAACACTAAAAGTCTTGTTAAGCTCCATTGACTCCATTTCCACATTCATAGCCTTTGTCCAGCTTTCTGATGCTATAGCTTGAGAAAAATTTTTAGGTTCTGTTTCAAGAGAAATTGATAGTATATATTCTTGATAAGGCTGTTTTAAGGATTGATAAGAAACAAAAGAAGAAATCGGGTATGGAGTTGTATAAGGTTTAGATGAAGAGAAAGAATTTGAATGAATAGAATCAGAAATTTGAGTAAGGGAGCAATGATAGTCAGAGAGATAACCTGGTGTCCTTGCTGATCGCTTTGGCCTGGCATTTTGCAATGATACAGTGGTTGTCTCTGCAGTCACAGTCTCTGATATTGGATTTGTGACACTAGAGTGGTTAAGATTGGTGGCACCAGTGTGTGATGAAGATGTATGAGATGGTGATTGTGCAGTATGATCATGTGTAATATCGCTATGAGATGCATCAGGTAAATCACGATCTAAAACAGTAGGTATTGATAAAGGTAAAACCGCATGACCAAACACATCAGATGTATGCAAAGGACTATTTTCTTTGAAAGGAAACAAATGCTCATGGAAAACAACATTCCTAGAAACAGAGATAACATTGGTATCTAGATGTAAAACTTTGTAACCTTTATATCCAAAAGAATAACCTAGGAAAACACATTTGTCAGCTCTCTGAGTGAACTTATGTCTATCTTTCTGATGAGTGGAAACATAGCAAAGACAACCAAATGATCGTAAGAAAGCATAGTCTGGTTGTTTCTTAGTAAGCATTTCATAAGGAGTTTTATTATTCAACAACACAGAAGGAGTCCTATTTATAAAAAAAACAGCAGTTAAAAGACAGTCACTCCAGTACTGTAAGGGAAGATTAGATTGGAAAAGTAAAGCTCTAGCCACATTTAGTAAATGTTGATGTTTTCTTTCAACCGCAGAGTTTTGCTGAGGTGTATAAGCACAAGAAAATTGATGAATAATACCATGTTCTCTAAGCAATTCTGTAAAAGCTAATTCCGGAGCATTATCACTTCTTATAGCTTTGATTTTAGTACCATACTGAGTTAAGACAAGGTTTAGAAAAGATGGAAATTGTTTTATTACTTCATTTTTAGTTTTCAACATATAGACCCAAGTAACCCGAGTACAGTCATCTACAATAGTAAGAAAATATCTATATCCTTCTACAGACTCTATAGAGAATGGACCCCATACATCAAGGTGAACAAGATCAAATGGTGAAACTGACATGTGATTATTAGACTCATAGGACAAACGTTTTTGTTTAGCTAAAGGACACACAGAGCAATGATCATGACTTCCTAGACTAGACACAGAAATGGGTAAAACACTAGAGAGAACCTTTAACTTGTCAGGAGATGGATGTCCTAGGCGTTGATGCCAGAGATCTCCATCAACCTTCAAGGATCCAGAAAAATGCTGTGAAGACGCTTGTTGAATGATATCAGTTGATGATGAATGTTGTATATGAGGTGATGATGATTCAGACTGTAGAACATACAAGTTATGTAACAAAATCCCTTTACCAATCATCAAGCCCTGAATAGACTCCTGAAGATAACAAAAATCAGGGAAAAAATGAGCTGAGCCTTGACCTTTCTTAAGCAAACTACTAACAGATATGAGGTTAAACTTGAATGATGGAACATGTAAGACATCATGCAAAGTGAGTGAATGTGATAAGTGAATGGTGCCACAATGTGTGATTTCCACCCTATTCTCATTAGGTAATGAAACTGTGACTTCAGTGACTGTTACAGTATCATTAAAAAAGGTCAGGTCAGAGCAAACATGGCTAGTAGCACCAGTATCTATTATCCAACTACCATGAGGAATGTGTTTAGATAAAGATGAAAGGCATTGATGTTGAAAAGTGAGTTGGTTATTCTCAAATCTCAGAGAAGATGATGGAAAGTGAGTTGGAAAAGATAAGATACCCGATGAAGATTGTATGGCCATAGCACCATGTTCTGTAATAGATGAGACTTGTGAAGTGGAAGCTGAATTCTCCGGAGGTTTAACTTGAGCATTCAGTTGTTGAATTAAAGAGTTGACTTGATCACTGTTGAGTGTACTGATATCTAGATTCACAGCTGGTGCAGAAGGAGCAACATATTGTGGTGTAGATCCAGATATAACATTTGCCACTGAATGTGATTGAGGACGAGGAGCAGATGGTGCTTGCCCTCTGTACTGATACTGAGTAGAAACAGGTCTCTGTGAACCTTGATATCCAGCAAATGTACTCTTGAATCCAGGAATATAACATGGGGGATATCCATGGAGTTTGAAACATTTCTGGACTACATGACCAGTTTGACCACAGTGAGTGCATACTGGCCTTGAAGATTTTGGTCTATAACCAGTCACAGCAGCAGCATATGCAGTATTATCAGGTGAAGTATAAGATTGTGCAGCCACATTATCAGAAGCCTGAAAGATTATACCATCTTGTTTGGGTTTGATAGTCTTCTGTCTCTCATCAGAAGTCAACATATTAAACACATCTTCAAGACTCGGTATTGGTTTGAGCATCAGAATGTGTCTGCGAGTTGATTCATAAGATTCATTCAATCCCATCAAGAACTTAGTAACACGGCTCCTTTGCTGTAACTTCTCCCATAAACTTGCTGCATTACATTCACATTTCCCACATGTGCAGACTGGCAATTCCACATAATTTTTGTACTCCTCCCATAATGTCACCAAAGCTGTATAATATGCAGTCACAGACATTGAACCTTGTTGAATAGAACCTAGCTTCTGTTCTATTTCATATACCCTAGGCGCATCATCTTGCTTAAACCGAGCCATCAAATTGTTCCAAATACCTTCAGCAGTTGATATAAACAGCAGACTCTGCCCAATTTGCTTATCGGCTGAATTGATTATCCAAGTTGTAACAATGTCGTTACATCGAGACCAAGAACCAAAATCAGGATGATCCTCTGATGGTTTTGGAATCGTGCCATCAATAAATCCAAGCTTATTTTGTACATTAAGAGCCATACGAACAGATCGTCGCCATGAATAAAACTCAGCTCCAGATGTGAGTCGATCAGAAACTATACTCATCCCAGCATGATCCGAGCTATTCAAGAACAAAGGATTATCATACTGATCTGTCGAAGTACGAGTCGTTGATGTCGTTGGTATCGTCATGACGATAGAAGAACAAGATCCGTCAATGGTGTTAAACGAGAATCAAATCGATAGAAAAAGAAGCAACCGTGAACTCAATCGAGCAAGAAGATCAATCGAAGAACAGAAACCAAAAGAGATATCGCGGAAGAACAAATCAAGATAAAGTTTGCAACAAGATTCGCAACGAAGATGAAGAAAAACTGACGATTTGAGCAGCTCATTGATGATGAAGAAGCTAATCAAACGCAGATCTGAGCTCAGAGATGTGTAAAAGAAGTTCAGAGAAGATGAAATTGAAGAAGAAGAAGATCGATGATGATGAAATCGAAGAAGATGAAGATGAAGATGAAGTTGAATGAGAATCGAGTGTGAAAAAAAGGTTGTTAGAGCTCTGATACCATATTAACACTCTTGATTAAAACTGAAATTCTCATTAAAGTGACTAAGTGTGATTACAACTGTATTTATATGTACATGTACATAAGAGAGGAATAAGCTAAAGAAGACTTATTTCCTGATCCTATTATACAACTATAATCACTATACATATATGTTAATATTAAGTGATATTATAATCAACGTCTCAAAACAAAATTACGTACCACACATATTACATATATGAATCATGATGATTCATACATGACGCGGATATATATATATATATATACTTATATATGTGGTGACCACAAAAAAAATATATACTTATATATGTTTTCTGAGTTGTCGTAAAATGTTTTTTTCGTTTCGTGGACTGGACATATAAATGCATGCAAGTATATATGCAACAATATAATTTGTGGATCGTTAGCGGAAAGGGATGATGAGTTTAAATGCGCTCTAAAGATAACTGTTTTTGTTCTCTCATAGGTCGATCGTTGTCGAGGGGAACCATACTCATTATTAACTCTGTCACAGTCACATGTAAAAATATGCTATCGTACCAACCTAGGTCTAGGAATAGAATCGGCCAAATAAAAACCGGCCGAGATTAAGAAGTCGTGTGCTGTAAGCGAACCGAGTCGTGTATCAGTATAACTTGTTTGATTAATTCCAACATGCATGCGTTTGTTCAAGCCGAGTCGTTTCTTCACAAATAAAAAAGTCAATTCTCAAGAAAACCCTAAGAGACCAAAATATTCCCCGAGTCAAATAAACCACAAATGAAATATAAAAATACTACCAAAATAATCAACGTAATGATGTAGTTAACCGGTTCGTGTTCTACTCGGTCATTTGCATAAACTATATCAATATGTACTCCTAATGACAATGAAACCAGTGTTGTACACACACGATAAATATATTTTAATTCGATGTGAACGTAAAGTATTATTTGTGTTATATAACTCAGTTATAGCATGCATAAAATAAAGGCTACTAATTTGAAGTTTTGATTACACGTTGTGTGTTACCATCTTAAAATATTTGAACGGCATTCGTATGTATATAGGATCTGTTTGATGCAAAACGTAAACAAAAGCCATCAAACATAAATTTGGTTATTTAATAATTTCATTATAACTACTTATTACCAAGTTTGAATGTAAATGTGGCTATCTATTTGGAACTTTGATTTGATGGTCCACGTGTTTTATAATCTTTTGATAAATCAATCCGTTGAAAATTTTGATGGATTTGCACCATATGGACCTTTTTTATTGGTAACTGTTTACCAATGTAATGAAGAATATGTATTACCATTTACCAACTATGTCACCAACCATCGAGACAACAACATGATACCAAATAATTTGCATTCCATTACAAATGATACGAGCAATGAAAAAAAGTGGCGGCACAATTGTAAAGTTGTAGCGTTCATTCAAGGCATTTGTCATTGAGATTTTTTTTTACGTTCGTATGTTTTAGTCTATATTTTCCGCATTATTTTATTATTGGAACTCTAATATAGTAATTAAGTAATGCACCATAAATATTATTAACAATGGTATCTTTCAGAATAAAAGATTAATTAGAAGCTATCCAACTTATATATATATATATATATATATATATATATATATATATATATATATATATATATATAATTTTGAAAAGATGACCGTCTAAAAATATCTCTCAAAAGAGTATCGATTTTTCACTTTGTCACAAAAAGAGAAATTAGTATCCCACTATGAAACCAATCTAAACCAAAAATCAAAATTTGGTTGAGAGTGAGGCAGCTAGCTAGGGCCAGGTCCTGTATATATTTTTTTTAGCAAAAGCACTCATGTGGACTTGGCCAAACCGTGTCTGAGTGAATTTTCTATTTTTCAATTTGGTTCAAATTGTTGAAAACTAATTCTTATGTAGTAAAGTCAAAGTCAAAGTTCATATATATGTGTATACATAAACATAAGATAGTGAGACCGATCTTGCACGAGTCAAACAATGACATCTCAAAAACCTATATATACGAGTCATTATCGAATTTATTACACATACAAAACAAGAAAGACCCTACACTCACCAATAGAAAGCTCATTTTTGTTTATGTTTCTCGTTCAAAGTGAAAAAAAAAAAAAAACATTAATCGTAAGCATGATGAAGAAACAATTGGTTGTCGCAATTTTGTTAGTTGTTATGTTCGTTGTAATCTTGGACGCTACGCAAGTTGAAGCCATGAGGCCTTTCCCCGACACCGTCGATGAGATCAGGCTTCTGTTTCAGGCTCTACAAAGAGGTCCGGTCCGAGGCTCTGGTCGGAACGGTTGCACCAATATACCTCGCGGTTCAGGCAGATGCCATAACTAAGCGAGCTTGTCACACGAAGCTTTTTCATTCTTTGATTCCATTTTTTGTTCCCACATTTCTGTGTTACGTACATACTTACATTTACGTAATTATACGATAGCTTTAGACTTCGTTTCTTATAAACCAATTGTAATCAACTGAAAAAAATTTAAATTAGTGTATAAATCAATACAAACATTTTTCCACTATTCACTAGCTGGTAAACATTTTTAGAAAGAAACGTAATAGTTAAAAAAAAAATTCGTTTTAATTTGAAAATTTTATTGGACTTTTGGGTTTTAAAAGGTAGACAATACAGTGAATAATTGATTCAAGTATTTGACTTATAATTTTACCTGGAAAGAAAAAAAACACATAAACATGCAAAATGCGCTTTATAGTTTATATACAGCGTCTGAAGAGAAAGCCGTTCTCATGGCATTGTATTCCCACTTACACCGTTCTGTAGCCAAAGGTTTTTCCCTCCGACATCTCATCTTGAAATGACTTTACTAAAAAGTCAGACCTTGACGGCAACAAATAAAAAGACGCGCCTTTATGTTTCCTACTTCACGGTGAAATATGAATCGGATATGTCCTGGTCGGAGATTTACGCGCACAAGATACCCGAGAGTTCATCAATGTTCCTGTGAAAACAAAACCTGCATTGATGTGTGAAAACTTGGGATGATTAGCTTTATCAGTAGCAGTAACAGCAACATTGTACGTTTGTTGAAGATACATAGATGTTAACGCAATGAATTTGAAGATATGTTTTTGAATCAGAAGTTTTGCTAGTATTCCTAAATTCATGATCCTATACTACAATGCGAGGCAGGAAAATCGTATTCTTGTGCAATGTAAGAGAGACAGAAACAGAGCCTGTAAGTCATGTGTACCTGTGTGAAACTGCCTATGTTCTGTAGCCAAGCATCAAATGCTTGTAATAACGGCCTCGGATGATCCTTTGCCACCAGTATTTGGTTGAGCTCCTGTAGCTCATCTGCATTCGCTCTTGGATGAGCCTGTCATGCAAATCACTCGGCTGCGTGAGGATCGAGAAAACCAGAGATTTATAAGAGCAGATCCACGCGAGAAGGGAAAAAGTTTGCTCACCATCTAACAAGGCATCTTTTAATGCCTTGAGATATAGGACGAAAAAATGATGGATCTCGCTGAGTATACAGTATCCCAACCTAAAACAAAATCAACCCTGTTTAGAAAAATGGCTCGGGGAATTAACGTCTACAGATCAAGAAACGACAGATCTTATTACCTCAACCAGTGCCATAGCAGAAGGGTCTTCAAAGATCTCAAGGCTATAGTCACCCAAATAATTTACCTATATAACGATTGATGCTTATACATTATCAGTGATGCTATAATCATTGGTTTCATGTATGATAAGGTAAACAGAACAAAGTTCGGCCTTGTTTCCATTAAGGGTCTAGAAGAGTAGGTACCGCTAATTCTGTATTGACAAGAGCTTGGACAAAATCCATCAACTGAATCTTAGCCCACTCAGAGTTCAGAGTAGGATCCTCGGTACGTGGAGGATGCCTCCATGCAGCACCAAAACGTAATTTCTCATACGGAATGCTTCCTTTTCGTGCATCACTGGCATACCGTTGAAGCCGTAACAGAGCTTTTTCCATTGCAGGATTAACTACAGCAACCTATACAAGAAAACACATTACAACAAATTAATGGTTACTTTCATGTGTAATTTGAAAGCAATCTGTTTAAACGAGCTTACTTGTAAATATGCCAAGTATGCATCCACAATATCTTCAATTGTACCTGCTTTACTCCCCATCAAACTGATAAAAAAAATGGCTCTAGGTCACTTTTGAAAAACGAAAATGGGAGTTTCACACATTTTGAGAACAAAAGAAACACATAAAGGACTGAAAGCTACGATGAAGAGAGAATACAAAAGAACAAGGAACCATTACCTTTGGTAATGATTACTCTGCTTAAGCGCATAAAGCTCGAATAGATGCCGAGAATTGGCACCAAGAACATCGGCAATGATAGTCCACTACAATTTCAATATTATGTTAAACTCCAGTATTATAGACAGCAATCACTTAAATAAAAAGCAATCAGTTGGTATTAACTAGAAATCAACCTTTCTGGTTTGACATTGTTAGGGTTTAGGCTTTTACACTAGTTTTCAATATTTGGTTTCATTTAATAAGCAGTGCCATTACCTACAATAATTTTCTCACCTCCGAAGCACTGAAGTAATCAGGAACCATGTGTAATTTGGCTTCTTGGGGAGTCCATCCAAATGTCTACAAATGACACAAGACAAAATGCAACATAAAAAAGGTAGAATGCAGAAAAAAATCAGAAACCTCAATTCTTATGTTAACAAGATTTCTCGAATCGGAATTACATGATGCGTGAGAGTAGAAAATTCTACATTATATACCAAATTACCATTTACCAATACATGTTCACAGAAATGCATACAGAATCCATAGTTAATATAGATATATGTGTAGCTTCTATACCTCACGAGAGATGAAAATGTCTGGAAACCCGAAGTCAACAAAGGCTTGATATGAGTAGTAGCTGTCAGGATACAAATTTTTATACATCAGAGAAAATGATAAAAATAGTTTCAAAATAAAAGAGATAGGTAGGAGTCAAGTTCATAGGGGGAAATGATTATACAGAATTTCTTGAACTAAATAACATGTGACAGAGTGATACAATCAGAGACCATTTTCTCGTCTATTGTTTATAAAATGAAACCTAAATAGAGCTAGGAGACCAATCAATCATCAAATAGTAACAGCTTGTACTTATAAAATCTAAAAAGGTAAAGAAGAAAATAGAACCAACCTATCGGAAGTCACAAATAGGACAGGTAGACAGCGGTCATTGGCACCTAACGCTATTATTCTCCATATAAGATTGTCATGGTACATTGACGCTGAGACTGTTGAATCATCAGTCTGAATAGCACTCTTCAAGATTTCAATGTTGTTTAAGACCAGCTTAGGCTGCAACGTGAAACAAGAAACAAAGCCAAGCAAAACTAAGCCAACATTACATAAAGCAGAAAGCAACATTGATGGTTTCTAGATGATACAGCCACAGTTTAAACTAGTCATAAGATCAGAGATTCAACGACTTAAGAAAAAAAAACAGTACTTATCAATTTCATTACCTGGAAGAAACCAATCTCTGCAGCTTGTGACAACAACTCGAGCATTAGCAATGGCCAGTCAGTACACGAATTAGCTAATGTTCTTGAAAACCCATTAGTTCGATTTAGATGGGCAATGGCATTGGCTTTCCAACCCTGGTGCACCTTTATTACCTCTTTGGCCAATCTTAACGCAAAGGCCGTCTCTCTATAGTACGAAGCCTCTTCTACAGACAAGCTATTACCTTTCTCTTCCAATTCAAGCAACCCATCAATCTCATCGGCATTTTGTCGAACAGATAGCGCATAGACTGCCCGTTCCCAGAGAAACGAAATGGAGACTTTCTCTGGAACGGCAAAGTTATAACCCTGAAGTATACGGCGAAGTGCAGTATTAAGACCATACCATTTGTTCATAGTAGTGAAAATCTGCTGCGAGCTTATACTCCCGAGTTTGATAGCTCTGTGGCTCATAGATTCAAGACAGTTCTCGAGCTGAGTTTTGCAATTCGACAACAATGGTGGGTCAACACTGGTCCAAGACGTCCATGGATATGATTGGTGGTGATCTGGATGGTGTTCCGTAATCGATTGCGCGAAATCTACATAGCCGGCGATATGAGGCCCTTTGTTCCAGTCTCCGAGTAGACCTAAAAAAAGGATGAGATCGGAACAAATCAAAGCTGCGATCTTTTGAAAACAAAAAATGAAAAAATTGGGAATTGTGGATTTGCAATGGTTAGATTTACGATTAAGAATAAGGGTGGTTTTGCCAACACCACGAGGGCCATGGAGGATGAGCGGCTGAGGAACACGGTGGCGTTGGACATGGTTGTTGAGAACTGTCTCTAGAAGTGGCCTTGGAATTATCTTCCAAGGTTTATTCACCATTTCGCTACTCCTCCTCCTCCTCCTCCTTCTTCTTCGTCTTGCCTTGAGCTCGATCAGTGTATGGGTTTTAGGGACACTCCCAAATCTCGGGAAAATGTTCGTTCAATCGAAAGGGTTTAAGCGTTTAAGGAAGAACACTCTCTCTCTCTCTCTCTCTCGCTAAGGATTAAGGAAGAACAAAATTCAAATCGAACCAATCTGAACCCGGTTTGCTCTCTCTATTCGGTTTAATCGGATACGGATAATCCTGTGCAAACCGAATTAACATAACCGGAACTAATTATGTACTTTTGTTCGTTTTGATTTACTGTAGTAAAAAGTGCAAAGACCTTATCGAATCTTATGGTAGACTCAAGTTAAGCTTAACACATTAACAGTACAATTACACAAACTTGTAAAATAATTAAAGAATTTATTTTCTTATAATTTTCGTAAATTTATATAAGCCAAGGAAACATGTTACAAGCAAGAAGTCAAGAACAGTTAAATCAAAATTTGATTAATTTCTAGTAGATAAGAAAACTACATAGTTAACCAATAGACCAGAATTTGGGGTATTGGGATCAAGCTTCACATGAGAGGATCATCCGTGGTATGAGCCTGAGCCTTTGGGGATGTGAGAGCAACCATTAGAACCAGACCCAAGGACCGGACCCTTCTGTAACGACTCGAAGGTGGATTTGTAACAGTCTCGTGGCTCCTACTTGTGTGGAGTCCCAAAAAAAAAAACACTTAAACAGCAAACAAAATCAATCCAAAGATCACTTGTTTCTTCATCATCACTCAACTTTGTTCTCTTGGTCGTTTACTGTCAAATACTATAAAATAAATAATTTCTTAAGATACTTATATATATAGCGACAATCTATATATATAAAGTTACTTTTCCTCTCTTCTCCTTCCGCCACGTCAGCGCCACATCATCCACCACATCATCATTTTTATTTTTACTAAATCCAAAAAAATATGGGCTTGAGGTCCAACACTTTCACAACAATCAAAATACAAAATCTAAAATATCATGGACCTGAGGTCCAACACATAACAATCAAACCGATAAAAAATTAGAAAAATATGGAATACACGAGTTTAGAACTGGATGATTAAACGCAACAGGGAAAACATTTTCTAGAACCATCGTTTAGAAGAGCGACACATCTGCAACAACGATACCGATTTTAAAATCATTGATCGGAATACACGGGTTCGAACGTAAGAAAAAAACGGGAAACAAGCCGGATCCTAGAATATATCAAACCCAGACACCGGAAACTTTATCTCTCTAATCACATACTTAGTAAAAAGAGAGAATAGCGCATAAACTTTCCATCGACCTCTGACGAATAATAAACGATGATAAACATTTCAAATACTAAATTACTATAAAATTGAAAAAATAATCGATAAAAAAATAGAATAACAATAAATAACAACAGTAAAAAGCCAACAAAACAAACAATGCAAAACAAAAAAAAAACAACGAAAAATTATAATATACTTAAAACAAAACGAAAATTTTATAAATCTCCCGCGCGCAGCGCGGGTCAACAACTAGTATTCACATAATGTAGAGTTTTCCTCAATACATATCGTAAATATGTAATATAAGATTTACATGTTGTTTTCCAAATCAAATTTTTTTCTATTTAGATTTCACGGGTTTTATTTAATAGACGGCCTAGATTAGCTCGCAATACTTAATCTGCAAGATACAATCTCTAATATTTACCCTTTTATGTCGAAGATGTGAATAAGAGATCTATACATAGAGAGAGAGAGAGAGGGGTTTTGGTTTGTTGGTCATACACCAAATAATATTCATATGGATTGACTTTTAGTTATAAAGAATTGGTTTTCGACATTTGAACTAGCAAATAAATATTTGAGCTAATTTGATCAATCAAGTTAACTAACAGATATAACACGGTTTATGATCTGGACTCCAAGGTTTCTTAAACGTTCGTAAATTTCTATAAGCCAAGGAAACATGTTACAACTTACAAGAACAGTTTAAAGTATGATTAATGTATACAAAAAGAATGAATAGAAAAATAAATAAATAGTCAACCCAATTCCAAATTTGGGTATTGGGATATCAAAGCTTCACATGAGGGAGGGCTCATGTGCGGCACGAGCCTGGCGAGCCTTTAGGGATGTTAGAGCAACCGTTAGGACCAGACCCAGGCACCGTACCTTTCTGTAGCGACTCGAACGCGAACACGATATCACTCTTGAAGGTGGTTCGTAACAACCTCGTGGCTCCTACTTGTGTGGAGTCCATAAAAATCACTAAAAGGGCGAGCAAAATCACTACAAAGATCACTTGTTTCTTCATCATCATTACTCAACTTTGTTCTCTCTTCTCTTCAACTTTAAAAAAAAAAAAAAAAAAAAACCAAATGTGTTTCCTTGAACTTAGATAATTTGTTCGTTTACTACTTACTAACTTGTGTGGCATTGAAGATACGAGTCTGAGTTCTATATATAATAAAATATTATAGAGAGCTTAAGGGGTTTTGGTGAGTTGGTCAAACACAGAACAATATTCTTATGGACTGACTTTTACTTGGAAAAATTGGGGTTTTTCAACATTTGAACTAGAAAATGAACATTTGAGGTATTTGATCAATCAAGTAACACACATAACACGGTCTATGACTTGGTCTCCAAGATTCTTTGCTCTTACCCAATGGTCATATCATGGAAACACACGTCCCGGAGGATGTAATTCCGGTTCGTATTGACTTCTTAATTTCCGGTTTGGTTTTCCAAAAATGTTTCGAGAGTCAGTCAGTTTGATTTTTTCTTTTCGGGGTTTTTTTTTTTTTTTTTTTTTTTTTTTTTTTTTTGTGTGTGTTTGTCTCAAAGCTTACCACAAATACTACAACCAAATAATTAATCATATCTAAAACAAAAATTTGATAAACATATTGCATAACGGATGGTGCATAAGCGTTGGAAAAATTACTAAATCGATTTTAATAAATTTATGATATTACGATATTAAAGAGTAGTAATAACATAAAAGCATTATCGAGTGATTAAAAAAATAAAAAAAAGCAGCTTTTAGGGTGAAAAAGGGGAAAAGGGTTAAACAGTAGAAACACAATCTGTAAAGCCGTCACCGAGAAGCTCACTCTCACCTGAAACATTCCTCAACACCGTCGTCGTCATCATCATCATCATCATATTGGGGAGAGAAGGCATATGTATAAATAGTCTTACCCTCACACACACTTTCCCACTGTGTAATTTTGTCTAACCGGAGAAAGAGAATAACAGAAATGGCGACTCCACATAAGCCGTGGAGGGCGGAGTATGCTAAGTCTTCGAGGTCTTCATGCAAGACTTGCAAGTCCTCCATTACTAAGGAGAACTTTCGTCTTGGAAAATTGGTTCAAGCCTCTCAATTTGACGGCGTCATGCCCGTACGTCTCTCTCTCTCTATCTCTCTCTCCAAGAACTTGGACCCGTCTCTGTACTATACTCTTTCTGCTTGTTAGTAATGCTTCTTTATAGTTTTCGAATCACAAAGTTACTTCCTTTTAGAGTTGCTGTGAGGTAAATTTGGTTCTTTTTAAGTTGAAATTGGCGTTCTGTGAGGTTTTTATCATGTTCATTCTGCTTCTGCTAAGTTATTGGGATACTTTTGGGTGTCAAGCTTGCTTTTTTTTCCTTTGTTACTTCTGAGAAAGCTTTTCATTCTCCTCACATGATGTTCTTTCCTCCTTAATGCCTAAGTGAATGTGATAAATCAGCAATTATAGATAAAAATTGAGCCACTTTTGAGTATATAAAGTACTTGATGATTGCAGAAAGGTTCGTGCTTTTTGCAATGCTATATGCGTACTGCTGTTTTTTCCCTTTGGTACTTGGGGTTGTTCTGTTTTGAAGATCATTTGTTTTATAAAATATACTTTCAGCTGTTGTTTGATGTCTCTATGCAGCTGTGTTATTTATGTTATTTTATGGAATGTCAAAGATCATTCTTCTCTTGTTCTTTTCACTTGGAACCATAAGATGCTATCCTACTTTCTTCTTCCTGCTCTGGTTAACTTTCCCATTTTAGTTATATGTTGCTTTGGTGTTCCAAAAAAAAAAAAAGTTATATGTTGCTTTAGCTCCAGTGGACATGAAGTTTTTCTTTTGACTGACTGTACTTTTGTTTTTCTTACAGATGTGGAACCATGCTAGTTGTATACTGAAGAAAGCTAAGCAGATAAAATCGTATGTAGAACCAGCATCTCTTAGTAAACATATTAAAAAATTTCAGCTATCAATCCCATTTTGTCTCTTGGTTTTGCTAGAGTTGATGATGTTGAAGGCATAGAGTCACTTCGTTGGGAAGATCAACAAAAGATTAGAAAATATGTTGAATCTGGAGCAGGGAATAGCACGAGCACAAGCACAAGTACAAGTACAAGCACGAGTAGTACCGCTAATAATGCCAAACTAGAATATGGGATTGAAGTGTCACAAACTTCTCGAGCAGGTTGCAGAAAGTGTAGCGAAAAGATCTTGAAAGGAGAGGTAAAGTGTTGTTCTACTTCATGTATCATGGTTGTAGCATCTTATATGAACTGGTCCCTCATGCGTTAGGTTATTATTCTGTGTTTTTTGTTCCAGGTACGAATATTCTCTAAGCCTGAAGGTCCGGGTAACAAGGGTTTGATGTGGCATCACGCAAAATGTTTCCTTGAGATGTCTTCCTCTACTGAACTGGAAAGTTTGTCTGGATGGAAAAACATACCGGAGTCAGACCAAGAAGCTCTTCTTCCCTTAGTGAAGAAAGCTTTGCCGGCAGCCAAAACTGGTAAGAGTCTGTATGTTTTCGGTAATGAATTCAGTTTTTACAGAATCCTGATTTGCAGTACTATAGTCTGATGTCTTTGTGTTAATTTCTTTTGGCATAACTGGGACAGAGACATCAGAAGCACGTCAAACAAATTCAAAAGTAGGCACAAAACGAAGAAACGATTCTGGTGATAATGAGAAGTCAAAGCTAGCAAAAACTAGTTTTGACATGTCTACACGCGGTGCTTTACAACCTTGTAGCACAGAAAGGGAAATGGAGGCTCAAACTAAGGAATTGTGGGACCTGAAGGATGAACTGAAAAAATATGTATCAACTGCTGAGTTGCGGGAAATGCTTGAACTAAATGAACAAAGTACAAGAGGATCAGAACTTGATCTGCGTGATAAATGGTATATTACTTTACGAAGCTGTCTGGAAGTAAATTGCTTGGAAAAGATATTCTGAATGGTTTCCTGTTTAATTTCTGTTACTGTTGTGTGGATATGCTTAAAGGTAAGTTGGATTACAGACTCTGATGCGTAATCATATGCCTGACCTCTCTGCTTGTTTTTTTAGTGCTGATGGCATGATGTTTGGTCCACTCGCTCTCTGCCCAATTTGCTCTGGTCATCTATCTTTTTCTGGAGGAATGTACCGATGCCATGGGTACATCTCGGAATGGAGCAAATGTTCTCATTCCACTTTGGATCCAGACCGTATCAAAGGGAAGTGGAAAATCCCAGAAGAAACAGAAAATCAGTACCTTCTCAAGGTAAATCAGTCGGTTTGTAGAGTTGATATTGGTATGGGTTAGGTTATCTGTGGTGTATATAACTCATGAAGCTAATATTTTTTCTCTGCTTCCTTACAGTGGAATAAGTCTCAAAAGAGTGTGAAGCCAAAACGTCTTCTGCGCCCTGTACCATCTGGTGAGACGTCTCAGGGTCAAGGTTCTAATGATGCAGTTGACTCCTCAAGGAGTGAAAAGCTGTCAGATCTTAAAGTATCAATTGCTGGAGATACTAAGGAACGCGTATGTTATTCTGTCAAAAGTTATAGTTTAAATTATATTTGCACTTCACTGCTTGATGGGATCATTTTACAGCAAGCATGGAAGAAGAGAATCGAGGAAGCTGGTGCAGAGTTTCATGCTAATGTTAAAAAAGGTATGTATTACTCGAGGGTTTAGTTTAGCCTATTGTGAAAGTATTTTTAGCGTTTGTAAATATCTGTTTCACAAATTTGCAGGCACAAGCTGTTTGGTTGTCTGTGGACTGACAGATATCCGAGTTGCTGAAATGAGCAAGGCAAGGTAGAAAAATGTATTTATGTGCTGATACTCTTTAAATCATCACACTTTTTTTTACTCTCACTTTTAACGTTGGTGTTGATACAGGAGGATGAAAGTGGCAATCGTGAGAGAGGATTATTTGGTTGACTCTCTAAAAAAACAGAGGAAACTTCCATTGGACAAGTACAAAATTGAAGACTCTAGTGAGAGCCTGGTTACTGTTAAAGTAAAAGGGCGAAGTGCTGTGCACGAAGCGTCTGGCCTCCAAGAGCACTGTCACATTCTTGAAGATGGGAACAGTATTTATAACACAACTCTGAGCATGTCTGATCTTTCTACCGGTATCAATAGTTATTACATTCTCCAGATAATCCAAGAAGATAAAGGTTCAGATTGCTACGTATTTCGTAAATGGGGCCGAGTTGGAAATGAAAAGATTGGTGGTAACAAAGTGGAAGAAATGTCAAAGTCTGATGCTGTTCATGAATTCAAACGTCTATTTCTTGAAAAGACTGGAAACTCATGGGAATCTTGGGAACAAAAAACAAATTTCCAGAAACAACCTGGAAAATTTCTCCCGTTGGACATTGTAAGCATCATATCTTTTGTATCTTCAGATTCTATTATTTTCTTAAATCAATCATAAACTAATTTGTATCTTTTGTTTCAGGATTATGGAGTTAACAAGCAAGTAGCCAAAAAAGAGCCAGTTCAGATCAGTAGCAACCTTGCTCCTCCATTAATAGAGTTGATGAAGATGCTTTTTGATGTGGAAACTTACAGGTTAGAAACTTATTTGTCATTTTCTTCCTCTCCTCTCGCCTCCATAGAAGCTCCCTGAAGTAACTTAATAGAATACTTCCTCAGATCTGCTATGATGGAGTTCGAGATAAATATGTCAGAGATGCCACTTGGGAAACTCAGCAAACATAATATACAGAAGGGTAACTCTTACTTATCCATTTTTTTTTTTTCTGATAAACAATGATTCATGGTTCTACATCACATTGTAAATATTGTTTTTTCTTGTTTGTTATTCTACAGGTTTTGAGGCATTGACGGAGATACAGAAGCTATTGACTGAAAGCAACCCCCAGCCTTCTATCAGAGAAAGCTTGCTTGTTGATGCTAGTAATAGATTTTTTACCATGATCCCTTCCATTCATCCTCATATTATCCGAGATGACGATGACTTTAAGTCAAAGGTACTTGCCCTAGAACATACACATTGGTGTTGTTTTAACCTTGGCCTCTTTTTCTGCGTTACAAAAAAGTATTGCATCTGTTTGTCCCAGGTGAAAATGCTCGAGGCTCTGCAGGATATCGAAATAGCATCAAGATTAGTAGGCTTTGATGTTGATAGCACCGAATCTCTTGATGATAAATATAAAAAGCTGCATTGTGAAATTTCACCACTTGCTCATGATAGCGAAGATTATCGATTAATCGAGAAGTATCTTAACACAACTCATGCCCCAACACATACAGTGAGTTTTCACTTCCTCATTACAGTTTTTAAATGTTTGCTTATCATATTTTTTCTATTCAACTTCTGGTTATTGATTTGTCAGGAGTGGAGTCTTGAACTGGAGGAAGTTTTTGCTCTTGAAAGAGAAGGAGAGTTTGATAAATATGCTCCTTACAGGGAAAAACTTGGCAATAAAATGCTCCTATGGCATGGTAAGCCAGCTATAACCAGCCACACTTAGATGATATGGAAGCAGATACAAGAAAATTTGGTTGTTAATATTTTGGTTGCTTCTATATATGTATATCTGATACCTTGGTTTTAACCAAAACAACTCTGCTTTCAGGTTCTCGATTAACGAATTTTGTTGGCATTCTGAACCAAGGACTAAGAATTGCGCCTCCGGAAGCTCCTGCTACTGGCTACATGGTTAGTACTCTCTCGGTGTCTTGTGTGGTTCCCATCATTAGGGTTTTTATTTGCTGTTTAGTTAACTTGTTCGAGAATCTGAACTTCTTGAAACCCTGTGTTTCAGTTTGGAAAGGGGATATATTTCGCTGACCTTGTCAGTAAAAGTGCTCAGTACTGCTACACGGGTAAGGAAAACCCGGTGGGTCTAATGCTTCTGAGTGAAGTTGCATTGGGAGAAATACATGAGTTAACAAAAGCTAAGGTGAGCCCATGTTACAATTTTCTAGAATCTGCTACTAAACAGAAAGTCCTTATATTTGACTATAGGCACAACATAAACCATTTCTTACCTTTGTATATGACTGTTTCTCTTATGTCCACAATTCTTTAGTACATGGATAAACCTCCGAGAGGGAAACACTCTACCAAAGGTCTTGGCAAGAAAGTGCCCCAAGATTCAGATTTTGCTAAGTGGAGAGGTGATGTGACTGTACCATGTGGAAAACCTGTTTCATCGAAGGTCAAGGCTTCTGAGCTTATGTACAACGAGTATATCGTCTACAATACAGCTCAGGTAACTTCTGTTTCCTTTCCTTGATCCTTTCACCAATTTCCAGTGGGATATGTTACAAACTCTATCCTCCTTGTTTCTGTTTGGGTAATTGGAATGAGAAATAAATCATCCAGAAAGCTCATACTTCAGAACTCAGCTTCAGATATTATTTTCGCTACACATACTGTGACTCATTCTAATATGCTTATGGTGTGTTCATATCTGACAAAGATTGCTGTGTCTCTGGACAGGTGAAGTTGCAGTTCTTGTTGAAAGTAAGGTTTAAGCACAAGAGATGAGCTCGAAACCAAACCCGAAGACATAACTTTTTGTTAACTAAATGTCTTTTGGGAAATCGAATCCAACACGAAGACTTAACTGTTGTAAATAAACGTCTTTTAGGAGATCGAATCTAACATGAAGTCACAGATTTTGTCTCTCTGGCTTTGAAGTTGTGGCTGGTTTTAAAACAGTGTACACTACGTTTTGTTATGCTTTGTCTCTGTTATGACTCTTTTTGCTCTTAAGAAAACACTTGTTAAGATCTGATGTTGTTTTTATGAAGGATCATCTAAGAAATGGTAATTCTCAAAGACAACAAAAGTGTTGACTGATCCGATCTCTGCTATGAAAAATGTTGAAAAGTTGCTAGTAAAGAAGATTGTAGATGCATTTATGGTTCAATCTCTGACGAAATAGTCACTTGTACTCAAACAGACCAAGGAAAATTGACCTCCTGATAGTAAAGAGATTCACTGGAGCTACAAAGAGACTCATTCCGATCCATGGATTGCTCATGGTCGTGTGTAGCAGTACCACTCATTGGGTCGAGATCTGAGTCCAAGATTCCTTGGTGAAACCAATTGTGAAGATCTAGTGGCATTTGCTGAGAAAGAACCTTTTCTTGTTGCTTCAAATCGCAACCAGGATCCTCTTGATGGAACCTTCGAGAAGCTTCTTCTCTAAGTAGGACCACTTGTGCTTGTAAACTAACAACCTTAAGACAAAAGTAAGTGATGTTACTTGTAAGTACACTAGAGATGATGAAGCAAAGACCAATAACAGTTTATGTATACACTTCCTTAGGCAAAAAATACCTGTTGCTGGAGGGAGAAGATTTGGGAGACGCAGCCGTAAATAGGATCATGGAGACGAGAGTGAGCCTCGTAAGAGATGGTTCGTACGGCGTCACATCGGTCGTGATCAGGGAGATGAGAAATGAGTTTAGAGAAGTTGCTGGCTCCAAACACTTTGTGAATGGCTGCAAAGTTAGAAGAACCTTCTTCATAGCAAAAATATGGTGCAAATACACAACCTTCTATACATTTCCTACGCAAGAACTTGCATCCTCCACATGGTGAACCTAAACCTCCCATACTCCAAAAAAAAAAAGATGTAATAATCTACTATTAAACCAAATATTATCTTGCAGGAAGATTAATACTACTAATGACGATTATATAGTGCATGCGAGTTTTATAAAAAGGTATACTAGTTAACTTATGGTGGGATTTATGATAATCCAATTCGTTATTTTACATATTTGTCTCTCTAATGGCATACAATTACAAAAATTGCAGCTTTTTCTTTTCCCAAAAATTGTAAATATCATTCTTTTAATAATATAACTCGTCATAATATTTTTAAGTATTGTGTTTAAGTGTTTGAATAGGAATATATTCTTAGAAAATAGTTAAGAGAACCATATAAAATTGAGATCCGATCGTATGAGAGATTTGGTTGACGTATAGGACAAAACAATGAGTAAACATGAACCAAACCCAAGTTGCTTTTTGTGTTGTGGTTATAGCATTCTTGATTCATTTATCTACTTTTGATAAATCAATACAATAAAACTAGAATTAGTACTAATAGAGTTTGCTTTTCATTTTTTTTTAGTTTACTTTCTGTTTAATTTGGTAAAAGTAAATTATAGAAGCTAATGTTCCTGCCTTCTTAATGAATATGAAAGTGAACTATGTAATACTAAAAAAAAGGTATATACAAAAATAATTGATGTTTTCTTCATTATTTGAAAAAATTGGACTAATATGTAAATGGGACAATGTAACTTATTCTACTAAATAGATTTCAAACATTTGCTATGATCTCAGTTTCCATCAAACTTTACAGACTAGAAAAAATAGAGACCCATGATTATCCAGCCCACATAATAATCATGAATCATGATTACCAACACAAATATTCCCAAAATAATTGATCAAGTACAAAAAAGTTTGATTATTCGAAAAATAATGAACATCTGATAGTGGATTTATGACTTAATGTTGGTTTAGTGGAGATTAAAAATAGTAAGAAAATTAGAGTTTGAAGATTCATGTATGCCACATTTAGAGTTTCTTTTTAGCTTTATCTTTCTGTTTAGGACTTTATGTGTGTCTTTAGATAACCATAAGTTGTGTGTAGAGTTTATTGCAACAACTTTCATAGGCCACATGGCCGTGCACATCGATCAAATGCAGACAGGTTCAAGGTCCCTGGAGCCAGCTATATAACCCACATCGAACAGCCATCTATATATTATCTATGAAACTTCCATTAGTGTTTGCATATACCCTTTGCAAATCCTATTTGACTTGGAAAATAGTGTTGGCTTGCTTTTTAATTACTGAAACCCAAACATTGCATTTGAGAGATTGCATAGTTCAAGGTTTGTCAATAACTTTTACAGCGTCTAGTCATTGAAGACTTATATGACGAGTACTACTTCAGTCAGGATTTGGGACGAAACTACACAAGTCCCTGATCAAATTTAATCGTTCTTCAAACGACCATATGAAGATTAGTGATGAGAAAACTCAAAACACGTCTGAAATTGAATTCAAAGGAAGCCTCAAAAGCATATTCAAAGGTCAAAGGAAAAGATAACAAAGTTTGTGATTCCTTAACTAATTAGCAAAAGCTTTAATAATGAACATAACTGTAAATAGAGGAGCACCAAGGAATTAAAATCAACATTGCAATGAAACTGCAAATTACATGTACATATACAAAAAGCCCAACCAGGGTTAGATAGGGGAAGAGACCAAAACCTCAGACAAATGTGTGTTCTTCCATGATCTATTAAAAAGCTTCAATACATAGCTATAAATTAGGCAACTGCTTTGGAATCATTAGAAGAAGAGGCCTCACCAGATTCAGAGTGTTCATGGTCATGATCATGATCATGGTGATGGTGATGGTTGTTATCTTCTTCTTCTTCGCTGTCATCCTCATCAAAGGGCTTCTGCTTGTGAAAGATGCAACATTTCTTAGAACTCTTCTTCTGCATGAACTCGTTGTCCACAGTCCCGTCTTTCCAGGAAACTTTCTTCTTCTTCCGGTTCAACCGAAGCACTAATCTTTCTGTAGGTTGTGATTGAGAAACAGGGTTTTCTAATATGACAGAGGTTGTTGCTGAAGAAGAAGGCCTTGTCGCTGTGCTCATGGCGAAAGATAAGCTTCGGTTATCTGCATAGGGAGACACAAAAACGATCAATGATTTGGCTGCTCAAGAATTGTTTCTTTCCTCTATCCTTCACCAATACAAAACAAGAACGACAAGAGCTAATGTATACCAAACAGCAGAGTTCACAGCGCACAACTACGATGATTCTTGGATTCAAAATCAGAGATTTATGAAAAGTTCTTCACAAGAAGGAACCAAAACTCTGAGATACAGGAAAAATCAAATGGGTTCAACGCAAGAGTTTAAAGCTTTATCTTTCACATGTTGTAACCATTACAAAACCTAACCTTTAACAAAAAAAACAAATCGTGAACCCATAATTTTTAGGGTTCATTCTTCTGGAAACAAAACAGATGCTATTTTTCTAACCCTCAATTCAAGATCCGAAACCTAAGCAACAACACAAATCTAATTCTAACGCACTCATCGATGAATATTATATTAAATTGGATATCAAAAATACGTATCTCTCTATCTGGTTTCGATCACCATAAGAAGATAAGCAAAATCGAAACGAACCTGGGAATAGATCGTAATTCGTAATATCGCAGCTACAAAACTTGGTTCCAGGTTTAGAGGAGGAAGAGGAAGCGAGACGTTTGTTGTCCGATGAATGAAAGGGTTGATGGAGACAAATCTGAAATACTCTGGATGGTCTAAAGTATTACAAAAGCAGTAATATAGCTCATTTAAAACTATATATAAACTTTGATTAATGATTAAATTGAAATATTGTAGCAAAATGAAATACATTCCAAAAATGTTTATTTTTTTTCGTACTACGTACGTGTAAAATACTAATATATTGTATACTAGGATGGATCCGTGCGGGGTAATTTTTTGTAAAGTTGTGTATCTATTCGGTATATGATTCAAAACTAAAGTTTCTGAAAAAGATGATTAAGTATTAAAAAGTTAAACTTAGTTTGATATTTGTAAAACGTATATGAGATTGTGTAATATTAGTAAGTTGAAATTTTTAAATGGTTAATGGGTTACTTTTGGACCGTAATAAATAATTACAGAATAGTCGAGGCCCATCGTTTTTGTCTCCAATTTTGTACCCGACATATTATTTGGTAAGAAAAAAGAAAAGTTGGAGAAAAAAAAAAAAACAAAAAGACAGAACACATTTGTTGTCTTCTATCGCCGACACGAATCGGTTCAGCTGAATCAAATCAAGCTTTTGGTGGAATGAATTTTGATGTTCGGATTGTGTTTAGTTTCCCTTCTATGCTTTAAGGTACGTACAATCGATTCCTTGTCCTAAAAGTTAACAGATTTAAAGAAGATTGACTTCTTGATATCTAAGCTAAGTGTTTTTTTGGTGAACTCTCTTCAATACCACTTAAATATGTATTTTTCCAAAAATAGCATTAGAAAGTTTATTTTCCAGAAATATTATTAAAATACAATTTTTTCCAAAAATACCACAAAATTAAAACTTACATTTTTAACATTTAAAACTAATTTTTAAATCCTAAACACTAAACTCTATCCCTAAAAACTATACCCTAAATGATGTAAAAAAAAACTATATCTTAAATGTAAATAGTCAATCCAAACATAAAAAAAAAAATTTTACATTTTCAAAATTTAATTTTGTATGTTTATGGTATTTTAGGAAAAACAAATTTTTGTGGTATTTTTGGAAAAAACAAACAAATGATGGTATTTTTGAAAAAGAAAAACTTAAAATATGCTGTCTAAGAAAATTTCCATAGTATTTTTTACACAATTTTACTTAAAAAGAGTTTAATACTTTAAAAATGTGAATATTTTTGGTATTAGACTATTACAAATATAAATGTTATTAATAAATTATTATTATATTTATATTGGGGTTTGCGAGTCTAAAGATATACAACCTGTTTAGATATTTTTATATTTTGGGTTAAAGTATGGATCAGATGTTTTAGATATGATTCGGATAAGTTATTTTGCAGTCGAAGAAGATGAAAAAAAAAAAAAAACTCTACTTTATGTTATCAATTGAACCCCAGATATGACCCACTAAATCACGGCGATTTACAAAACCCAATAATAAAAAGAAATATATATAGCAAAAATGCTTAGAGTTAAAATTTGCACGTGCTCAAATCTACCAATAATTCAAAAATGATGTATTTTTTAACTAATAATATTTAAATGAAGTACTTCTATACCAACAGAAACAAATAGATATTCAACTTCTAAATTATAAACTCATGGATCTTTTCTGGTAATTTTCCCATTAATTTCAATACTCTATACCTTTGTGTTGCAAACTTACTAGTGCTTTTTCCTTTTGGCTATACATTGCGATTAATAATATGGAAAATAAATACAAAGTATGTCGTAAGATATTTTGTAGACTTCTACGAAAGCGAAAAAATAAACAGTGTTTTGGTTGACATATCCATGCTTCTTCTCTTCTACCGGTTGAATATTTCGCTAAGATTTATCCTGAGCCACTTTTTCCACAACTCTGAGATAAACATAAAAATTAACTATTTAGCCAATCAAAAAACACAAGTCGTGTATCCATCAATATAATAAACTCAGAACACATCATTGTCAACAAGCAATTACATTAAATATTTAAATATATGTAAACCAAAACAGAGCTAGTTCCAACATAATATAAAATAGCAAATAAAAAGGCACTAACTTTCGGTATATTATATGTTATTTCCGTAGAAGTATGTTTCGAATTGGCTTTCTCCCTTATAATTCTTAGCTATGACTTTGTAGATTTCAATCAGCAAATCCGGGAATCGAGAAGCAAAATATTCATCTACTCCATCCGGAACCTGTCCTAAAAGTTGCTGAGAAGCAAAGTAATATAATTATCAAAACTTTCGTAGAAGTAGTTTATGTGAGTGTGTAAGAGTGATTTAATAATGTGTTTATGGAGACAAACCTGGATGTCCGGAGGAAATTCTAGGTAGTGGTTAATTGTATTTCGTATTAATCGCAGCAAATGTCGGATATTGGCATAATCATACGTCCGTTTGGATTGTTGGACTACCTGAACTTGCTGGCTTTGTTGGGATCCAGGGGCAATAATTTGTAGCACTTTTTTCTGTAGCTTCTTGTCCCATGTTCTTCCTCCAAAGACTGATTGCGCTTTGTTTCTTAGAATGCTTAGTAAGGCTGAGTCAGCTTGCTCCAGCCTATCACTAGCTACACGTAAAAATTCAAGTCTTTTATTGGCAGTCCAAAACGTGGGATGGTTTAGAGCATGATTATCAATAGAATCTTACAAAACTCTTAAGGTAAAAAAAATTAAGAAAAGATAAGCAAAGTATCTTAGTTAAGAGACTTTCTTTATTTTTTCTTACCTTTTCTTAGTTTTTCTTACCTTAAAAATTTTGTAAGATCCTATTGATAATTATGGTCTTAGTGCTTCTATTGCAGTAGGACTACAAAGCAAAAACAAAAAGAAACAAAAACAATTAGCTGCATGCAACAATTGGAATTAAAAAATGGTTTTCTTCTAAATTAGTAGATTTAAACCATGATTATAAAGGGGTTCTTAAAAAAATTTTAAGCTAAGAAAAGTGAAGAAAAATTAAGAAAAGTTAATATATGTCTCTTGTACAAGAGACTTCTTTTACCTTTTCTTAACTTTTTTTTACCTAAGATTTTACTAAAAACCTACCAATAATGATGTTCTAAGTGGAATTACATTACCGTAAATTAGGTCTCGCGTGCAACAATTGGTTGATGAGATGTGAAGCTTCAGGATGCTTTACTTGAGAGAAGTTAACTTTATTGTCCGTCGTGATGTTGTTATCGCGGTCACTAGAGCGTCCAAAGGGATGGTTGCCCGTGATTGAGTAGAACAGTATACAACCGAAGCGGAACATGTCAATTGTTTCACTTTCCTTTTGCTTGAGAATCTGTTCTGGTGCTTGCCATCCCGGACTACCATAACCTGAATATTTTCATGAGCTCATTTTCATTACCAACCTAGGCCATTACGTTTTTCTATAAATCCACATGGTGATCTACCAAACACAACAATGAGGAACTTACATGTGTCAAGGTGGTCAAAGGATATTATATCCTTAGTGATCAGACGCTTGCATATGCCCATGTCAGATATTTTTGCAGTCAAAGTTTCCCCTTTAGATATTATTAGGACATTTTGTGGCTTCAAGTCTCTGTGCATTATCCTCAACTTGTGTAAGTGAAGAAGCCCATAAACTATATCTCTGCAACATAGCACCAAATAATTTGAAGAATGTGAGCTATATATATTTAAATTAAAAAGTATGTCCCTGCATCAAGGCATAAACAACATAAACTATATATTATGATTTATGCATAAAAGTTGAAGTCCAAAATAACCTCATTAGTTTTATCGTTAGAGGTAATGGATTTCCCACGGCTTTCCACAAGTTGAATTTTGCCATATCTTCTTCCAAAGAATCTGAAGGAGCTACTGTTTTAGTTGATTTGCTAAACTGTCTCACAGTTAATCTTATAAGATCATCTAAACTGCATCTCCAACGCTCTAGACAAATGTAGCCATGATCCTTATCGTGCTCAAAACCATGAAGGCGAATGATGTTTGAATGATCATCAGATTTATATAGGATTTCAAGATCATTCTTATCAGCATCGTTACTACGGGATAGATCAAGACATTTTACGGCGACTAGACGTCGTTCATAGATACCCTCAAACACCTCATTGCCGTTGTGGCTTCCACTCTCAATTTTTTTAGATGATAAAAACAACTTATTAGTAACCATTCTCCCAATCTCTTTGTCCTCTTGATCCACATGGAATTGTAGTACTGCTTCAACTGAATTGTACCACTCGGATAAATCCTTGCCTGGAAGAACTGATCTGGCTGACTTAGCGTTTGTTTCCTCCTCTATTACATGATCCTCCTCTCCTGATGATGCTAATTCACAAAGAAGACCTGACTTTGAATCTGTCTGCTCCTTTACTTTTCTTTTCTTTTTACGTTTCGTTTCACGAATCTTTTTCAAACTTTTGCGTTTACATAAAAACCTAATGACCCAAACAACAACGCAACCCACAAGAATCATGGCCAATATCGTCCCAGCACGATCGACAATAAGAAACTCAGCATCGTTCGGTAAACTCAGAATCGTTCGGATCGTTTGCATATGAAGGGAGTCCGAGTCACAAAGATCTGAACCCGAAGTTTGGTCATGCAGTAACGATTTCTTGAAGTCGATCGTCGTTACATCCATCATCGGAGTCTTTGTTTCTACTTGTAAGTCAGCCTGCAACAGCGGAAACTAAAACATAATAATGAATCCTTCTTAGCATAATATTATATTAAGATCAAAATTCCCTAGGTCAATGTTGATTAATCAAGAAACCATTTCTTGAATACTAACTGTCTCTAACTTGAACACCAAGTAATGTTACAGATTAACCGGTTAAGAACTGGTTTAGTTAATCATGATTTCTGGTTTTCTTTAGCCATGTTCTTAACCGGTTAATCTGTAACATTACTTGGCATTGGTATGTTCTTAACCGGTTATACTGTTTCCATCGGTATCAAAGCATTCGAGCTCTTTAGACCAAAATTTTCTCGGACAAACATGAATGCTCTGAAGTATTCATGTGAGGAGGTGTATGAGAGAATGAAAAAAGGGTTATGCATTTTTTTGTGATGAACAAGACACTCCTGGTCGTCAATAGTTAAAGCCTAAGAGATAACGGATCATCACGATGGAACGTGACGACGATCCTGCTGATAAAGAAGAAGCTTATCAAATCCAGAAAGGTCCTGACACGTTCATGGAAACTGTGAGTAATTCCAGACCTGATCATAGAAACTACTAAGGATTAAGATTCGTTCATCAAACCATTGGAGCGTGTCTCGGTTTTTCAGGTTCTAGATTCCGTTTCTGATGTGTTGATGGTTTATGAAGTGGATATACATGTCAAGGAAGTGGAAGAATCACCTCAGCAATCAACGAATGATCATGGCAAAGATGTTGGACATCAATTTTTCGATCAAATTCCTCTTAGAGTAACAAGTAAAGAAAAACAGAGGAAGACTCTTAAGGGCTGGCAGTTCAAGTTCAAAACCACTTCAAAGAGGAGCAGATTGATGGATGACAAGTTTCTTAGGTGGTAGAAACTGCTTTGCTTAGTAAAGATCCTCAAGAAAAAATTTGAGACCATGTCAACAAAGAGTTCAAAGTAATTGTTGCTGCTTGTAGGAGGAGAACAATTGATCAATATAAGCTAGTTGATGAGTGTTCAAAGTCAGCAGTTTATGATGAACCAACTCAGCTCCATGTATGGGAACCAGGTGGTTTATCTACTAAAATGGATATTTGGGATTGGCCAGACAAAGAATCAAAGTCACATGAATAATTATGAGTATGAAAAACAAAGCCAGCTTATAGATAAGAGACACTGAGAGCATTGAGAAGAGGAAGATTGATACTATGTCTTTGATAACTCACTGTAAAAGGTCGATTTTGGAGTACGTAAATGAAGTTGAAATTCTTTCTGAGAAGACATTTGTTGATAGGACACAACGATGGCTGGAAGTAAAAATCAGGGGACTGGCATGCGTAAAGAGAACATGTCCAACATATCTCGAGGTTCCATAATGGGAAGAATCTGGGAGAAAAAATTAAGCACCATTGCCTTCTCCTCATCTTTTTCTTTGAAGAGAGCTAAGTAGTGGACACCATTTCTTAAAACACCAGAGGCTTTACACACCTGCTAAAAAGGCAGAGATTACTAGAGGTTTAAAGAAAAGTGCACTTTTTTAATGACTGGAGCAAACAGATGACTGTAAAGCAAGACTTTGAGGATCCATCCCCTGGGTAGCAGGAGAAACCTTCACAATTAATATACTTGCATGAAAACACTTATACAAACACTGATACTAGAGACAATATTTGAATACAAACCTGAGTACACGGCACATGGGAATGGGTTATACTCCTAACTATTGGTCTCATTCCTGAACACAAATCAGGAAAAATGTATTGATCTTCAAGTATAGAATCATAATCAAATATAAAAATAAATATATATCTGCCCAAGATTCAGTACCCATGACCAGTGTCTTGATCAGATTCTTACAGTCATTTACTTTTTGAAGGTACGACAAGAACCTGCAAATCGTGCAGAGTTTAGCAGTTAATAAAAAAGCTAGCTGCTAGATAATCCAATTGTTGATCGAAACAAAATTTACCAAGTTATCTATGAGAATGCATAATGTTTTGGTATAGAGACAAACAAAAAAGAAAGAAAAACCTGGTACTAAAACTAAGAATTAACTCAGGTAACCAAAGTGGACTATTCATGTACGTAAGAAAATAAGAAAGTATTGAATGGATTAGCAGTTAATTAAGGTTATAAACATACATGCAACCCCGCATTATTGGCTGGCATCTCGGGTTAATCCCTATGATAAAAACTTAAAAACAGTCATATATCAGTACACAAATTAATAGATAAAAAAAGCCTTGAAATGTATTAAAACTTTCTTTTTTGTCAGTTAAAGAGGTGCTTATTCATCATAAGCCTTACCAAAACATGAGATGACCTCCATTTTCTTCTACATCGTTTTCCACCTAATTTCCCCTCATGTTTGCTTAGTTTATAAAAGAAAAAGTGTCTACTCTTTCCAAAACTGATATATGCTTTTGAAAAACCAGTGTAAATACAAAATAGCAAAACAGATGTTACCGCTAATTAGCCTGTGTCCCAGTTGATCAGCTTTTTCCCTTAAATTAATGGGTTGCAAAAGAAAGAAATATACGAGTGATTGGTTTTGTATTTGAAAATACATGTGACATAGTTAGTCCAATAAAATCATATGACATGGCCAAAACAACAAAAACCAAAGAATTCTCTAGTAACTAATGTCTTCTCTTTGGGTTATAATTAATCCTCGGCATTATACCCGGCCGGACCGAACATAACATCGCATCTGTGAACCAAAATCTTAATGGATCCTTAACTTCATAACCAAATCGAAAACCGCAATGGAACATAAATACAATTATACCTCAAAAAAAAATATCAGTTTCTTTTATACCGTATGTAATGTAATTGTACTACACAAATCCGAATGATCAAAAATATCTGAATCAAACTGTATAGCCGAAAAATATCTTAAAATTCCAACAAAATACCCAACAAATTTCGGTTAATTAGGTGAGAACCAGAACCGAAACCCAATCGAATCCAAATAAAAAGAATTTTAAGATAACTGAATGAATACTAGACTCAAATCAATAAACCAAAAAATATAAAACCTGAATAAATCGATCTAAAACTGAACTGAATACCCCAAACGCACGTATAACTAGCAACTTGTTCTGTATCTGAACGGTCATTGTTGTTTTGTTACGATATTATTTGCCAAAGACTAGTGTTGATTGTCGAAGGATAATATACTACTTTGTTTTTTACATCGTTTTATTATTATATGTTTCTTTTTGTTCTGTTTATTTGTCATCATCTTTTTATTAGAATATGAGAAAGACAAGGAAGGTAGACATTTTCTCGCGAAAGTTTTTTTGTGATGAAAGGTAATAAAGTGCAGTGCGATATGTATCTCTTGACATCCATTGATGGTATCACTCTTGATCAATGACAGGAAATATTAATGGAAAAAATTGTTTGATAGTGAATCTGAAAACCTGATCGAGATTGAAAATGCAAATTAACCCGTTTTATTCATGATCTGTCGTCGTGATCAGCACATGCATTGCAACCTTCAAGAGGTTTTGAACAAAGGGACGAAAAACCTCATTGTTGGAAAGACGATTAAAAAACTTCAAGTGATCGGCCGTCTGCGCTATCTGTAGACTGTCCCTGACATCTACCGCCACCTGAAGCCTTTCTTGGATAGCTACAAAAAAAGGTAAAATTTAACTAAAGAAACAAAAAAAAAAAAAAAAAAAAAATTGTATCCTTAGGAGAAAATGAAACAAGAACGGACTCAAAGTCGTCAAACTAAAATCGCCACGTACGAGAATCATGAAAAAGTTCCCGGATGTATCAAAACCCAAAATCAAATGATTATTATATATATAAAAGAGAGAGAGAGAGAGAGAGAGAGAGAGAGAGAGAGGTAGGGAAATAATCAAGAGGGAATAACATTACGTTGGCCAGGATTCTCGAGACGTCTTGAGTGTTGATCGAAAAACTGAATTGGAGGACGCATGATAAACAAACAACTCTTCCCCGGAAGAAGTACAGACCTCCGATCAATCGGCATTGCAATGAAAACGTAATAATAATGACAAAGTTAAAGGAATAACTACTGACGGTAAGTTGTGTTTTCTTGCGTACGATTTGACATAGAAACAAAGTGTGGTGAAATTTACCATTAGACCTATATACATACTTTATTACACATACTTGAGATGATCTCCACTTTCTTCTACATCGTTTACCAACGTAAATTTTCCTCATATTTGCTTGTTTGACAAAGAAAATAAAAAGTTTCTACTCTTTCCGAAACTGGATATATACTTTTGAAAAACCATATAAATACAAAATAGCAACACGCAGATATTTACTGCTATTAGCCTATGCCCACTTCAGCTTTTTCCATGTTAAAATGGGATGCAAAAGAAAAGAATATATATGAGTGCTTGGTTTTGATTTTGAAAATATGTGACATAGTTACAAAAGTCCAAGAAAATCATATGACCCGACCAAACAACAAAAACCAATTACATAACACACAGACACAAGACTTAAGAATTCTCTAGTAAATTAATATGTCTTCTCGATCTTTGGGTTATATATAATTAATCCTAATAACTAACTAATCCTCAAAATTATACCCGGGCGGACCGAACATTACATACCATATGTGAACCAAAATCAATGGATCCTAAACTTCATAACCAAACCTATACCAAGTCGATAACCTCAATGGAGGAGCCTAAAATACAGTTATTATACCTCAAACAAAAAAAAAAAATATCAGTTTCTTTTATACCCACCACCCAATAGGCCATTAATACAAAAACACGAATGATAAAAGAAATATCTGAATCAAATTGTATAAGTGAAAATATCTTAGAATTCCAACAAAATAAGCATCACCTGAGTAAACCAACGATCTGCTAAAACTGACCGAATAGTACCCGAAACGCACGAATAAACTAGGAGTATGTTGTGAAGGGTCATTGTTAATTTAATTATTTCGCTACGATGAAATTGTTTGCCTAAGACCTGGTGTTAATTGCCTACTTTTTATTTATTACTGACACCTGGCACAACGAGTATATTCCAAACTACGAATTTGACTGTCTATTGATAAAAAAAAAATATATGTTTTTTTGGTTCTCTGTTTATTTGTTATCATCTTTTTTAATCTTTTTTGACAAAGACAAGGAAAAACTAGAATATGACAAAGACAAAGGAAAAAACGTTGTGGTTGTGGTGGTTGACGTTTTTTTTTCGCGAAAGAATGTTGTGACAAAGTAATAAAGTGCACTGCCGAGCAGGGGCGGATCTAGAAGAAAAAGTTGTATGGGGCACTAATTAAATATATTAATAAATAAAATTTAATAATAAAATAACTGAGAAGAAAAAACAAAATAAAGGGGAAAAAAATAGATTTGTGATATCGAACCTTGGTCTCAAGATTTGATATGGGGCACTTACTACCAACTATGCTACGCAGACATTATTGAAAGCTGGTCAATTGAAAGTATTTATTAATGAGTGTGGGGCACGTGCCCCACCTCATTACACTGTAGATCCGCCCCTGCTGCCGAGTGTCTGTATCGCGACATCCACTTCCTTCGTGTACGTCGTTTTCCATTATTCCTCCCTTTTCCTATATTTCTATTCTTATCAGTTTAAAATTTGATATATGCTTTAGAAAAAACCAGTACAATAAATTCCAATACAGACTCTCTGATTCCAATAAATATATAAATCTAGTATTCCAATTCCAATTAGATATATGTATCATTCTAAAATCCAATTATTATTAGTTGTTTGGTAAATAAATTAAAATTTGATCCATAAAGAAAGATAAAATAAAATTTGCTAAATTTTTCACTTTTTAATAACTTACTTTTAATTTTCAATTCATATTAGCAAAAAGAAATACATCATAGTCCTAGCATCCAATAAATAAATACATGGCTTTGGGGCTAAACAACAAAAACCCCAATGGATTATAAAAATAAAAAAAAGTGTTTACAAGAACGAGCCAAACAGATGTTATAATCATCAGGATTCCTATTCTTAATTACATTACTAAGACCAAGTGCATCATCGTCACTTGCCTCCTCCGTTCCCCACTAATTTTGTTTAAAAATAAATCCAAAAGAAAAAAATTAAAGCGGGACGTACCCAATATCGCGATTCAATCTTACTATTCGTAGGCCCCAAAGACACGTGGCGACCCGCGATTAGTTATCTTAAAAAAAAAAAAGAAAAAAAAAATTCATTGGGACCAAAAATGTCAATGTATGTGTGATTAAGGGATTTGGGTTGGATTGAGTTGATCCAAAGATCCAATGCGATTAGGAGATTGAAATTACTAACTACCTAGTACCTACCAATCGGAAAATAGAAAAAAAATATTGGAATATTAGTAAATTACAAAACAATTAAAAAAAAAAACAAACGATACCAAAATCTATATATAATAGCAAACCCACTTTTTGTTTACTGCTGATGTCATCTTTTGAATCTAACGGTTCAGATTGTTTTTCATTTGATCTAAAGGTTATTGTTTAATCTCAGTATATATAAAAGCAAAAAATGTGTCTTTCTAAAAGGATGTGTTTTTTAATTGTGTCTTTTTTAAAAAAATGTGTCTTTTAATAAAAATACCCCTGTAATTTAATCTATGCAATGTTTCACAATCACACTCTTTCATTCCATATATAAATATTCTACAGCTTGATTGTTTTGTTTTATTTTATTTACAAATTTATTTTCCTGAAACAATTGTTTCTTCAAATTTTGTTTTTCCAATCCTAATTGACTTTAAATTTGCTTAGCCATTATTATCTAAAGGTATTAATTGTTATTACCTTTTCGTGAATTGGTTGCTCAAACCCACTTTATATGATTGCTGAGATCATCGTTTTAATCTAATGGATGAGATTGTTCCCGTTATGTCATCTAACTGGTTATATTTGTTAATGATCCCAAAAGTTACAAAGTTTTATACCCAACAATTGTGTTTATTCGTCGTACCCCTAGCTTAAAATTTTTGCACCTGTTATTTTTTCACACCTCTTTGTTTGTATATATAGATTTCTGTGGATCTTGAAAATAAATTTTGTTTCTCTGAGTATTGTTTCTCTGAGTATTGTTTCTCTGAGTATTGTTTCACACCTCCGAGATTTAAAAAATCTGAATATTCTTTTTTCGATTTATTAGTCTTCATTGATTAACGATCTTCGTTTAAATATGACTGATTTATTTATTGATTTCCTTATTCAACCTCTGTTTGGTGTCGTTTTCCATCTTATACAT